TTGAAAACGCTTGGGAAAAGCCATAGTGGCCCAAAGACTAAAACTCTCCTTAGTTCGGTTAATGCTTCCTTGAAACCTGGAACATTGACAGCGATTCTCGGTGGTAGTGGTTCTGGAAAGACGACTTTGTTAAATACGGTCGCAGAACGCATGTTCAGCTCTCGACTATCACAAAATGGGACTACCACGTTTAATGGACAAGAAGGGGTGCATTCTGTAAGACACGCATATGTGATGCAACAGGACATATTGCTTCCCACTTTAACTGTACGAGAAACCCTGCAATATTCGGCGGATTTGAGATTGCCTCCACCGACTACGAAAGAAGAGCGCATGCGTATTGTGGAAGAAGTCATCCTCGAATTAGGTCTAAAGGATTGTGCAAACACTAGAATCGGAAATAGTCAACATCGCGGGTGCAGTGGTGGAGAAAAGCGAAGAGTGAGCATTGGTGTACAGCTCCTAGCAAACCCGTCGATTCTCTTTTTGGACGAACCAACTACTGGATTAGATGCGACAAGTGCTTATCAACTAGTGAGGACTCTTAAGGCTCTGGCAAACAAGGGGCGGACTATTATCACAACTATCCATCAACCACGTTCAGAAATATGGGATCTATTCGACAGCCTAGTAATCTTGTCCAGGGGAAGCCCCGTGTATTCAGGCACCATGAAGGAGTGTATCCCATGGTTTTCAAACCTTGGATTCCAACTCCCTGCTTTCGTTAACCCCGCCGAATTCTTAATCGATCAAGCTGCCGTCGACAATCGTTCTCCGGAGCTTGAGGAAGAGAGTACCGCCAGAGTTGAGCGTCTGAAGGCAGCTTGGAACGAAGAATCTCAGAGAATTTTCGCAGCATCAACATCTGAAAAGGCTACCGAGACGAAGGATAGCCCAAAGCGACCGACGATAGGTCAACATGCAAATTTCTTTCGTCAGCTACGAGTCTTGACTGACAGGAATCTCAAAGTTACTTACAGAGATCCGATGGGGATGGCCGGGTCTATAATGGAAGCAATCCTTATGGCTATCATCACAGGATATATCTTCTACAACCTTTCTCGGGATCAACCTGGCATTCGATCAAGACAGGCTGCACTATATATCTCAGTAGGTCTACAGGGTTACCTATTCTTAACATTTGAGATTTTCCGTTTAACGTTGGACATTCCAACGTTTGACCGCGAGAATAGCGAAGGCTGTGTAACTGCCCTTCCTTTCATATTGTCCCGTCGATTAGCGCGTTTGTTTACAGAAGATATACCCGTTCCATTTTTGTACAGCGTCATATTTTACTTTATGGTGGGCTTCGACTCAGATGTGTCGAAGTTCTTTACGTTCTTTTCTATCATCCTCCTTAATCACTACATTGCTGTCACGTTGGCCATGTCGTCTGTTGCCGCGGTCAGGCATTTCCCCGGAGCTAGTTTAATCGCCAATCTTACGTATACGCTGCAAAGCATGGCTTGTGGCTACTTCATACAGAGCAATACGATCCCGGTCTACGTAAGATGGACCAAGTATATCACATATACTGTAAGTCAGCCATACCTCGCACTCTAAGTAAAACTTGCTAATATTCTAATAGTATTATGCGTTTGGGGCTCTATGTGGCAACGAGTTTGAGGGTAGCTTCTATGATTGCCCCTTACCAGGCGGTGAGTCAAATCCAGCCTGCAACCAATATACCGGACGGTATATCATGGACAACCTTGGATTTCCTCGGAACTGGGTAGCACGACCGATCATCATTCTGGTTGCCTTTGCTATTCTCTTCTTCATAACATCCTGGGTTGGATTAGCTTTCTTAAAAGTAGAAATGACAATTGCACGATCTCGAGTATCCGACACGGATCTTTCAGCCGGGAAAGAAAAGATGGCAGCGAGGTCAATTCATGAAGTGAGGGCTATAGATGTCGGCCTCGACGAGTTTTCTTTAGTACTGGATAAGCGATCCTTGACTGGGAAAAAGCTGCCAACCAAGACAATTCTTAACCCTGTTACGGCAACATTTCAAGCCGGCACACTTAATGTAATAATGGGACCATCTGGTTCGGGGAAAACAAGTCTACTTAATGCTATGGCCCTACGCTTACATAGTACAATCGGCACTAGGTATCGGCCATCAGGGAAACTGTCCTTTAACGATGCTGTTCCATCGGACTCGGTCATACGATCGGTCGTGTCGTACGTCTGCCAAGACGACGATGCATTGCTTCCGTCTCTCACAGTACGTGAAACTCTACGCTTCTCAGCTGGTCTTCGCCTTCCCACGTGGATGAGCAAATCAGAGAAATATCAGCGGGCTGAAGAAGTCCTGGTAAAGATGGGTCTGAAGGACTGCGCTGACAATTTGGTTGGTAACGAGCTGGTAAAGGGTATCTCCGGAGGAGAGAAGCGACGAGTCAGTATAGCTGTACAAATTCTTACCGATCCTCGAGTACTATTGTTAGACGAGCCGACGAGTGGGTTGGATGCATTCACGGCAAGCAGTATATTGGAAGTGCTCCAGGGTTTGGCCAAAGAGGGACGCACGCTTATCCTTACCATCCACCAAGCTAGATCAGACATCTTCAACCATTTCGGGAACGTACTCTTGTTGGCTAGGGGAGGTTCACCTGCTTATGCTGGTGCCGCGAGGGATATGCTGCCTTATTTTAGCAAACTAGGGTTTCAATGCCCTCAGCATACTAACCCAGCCGATTTCGCACTCGATCTCATCACAATAGATCTGCAGGAAGCGACTAGAGAGGCGGAAAGTCGAGAAAAGGTTAGAAGGCTTATCGAATCGTGGAATAATGTCACCAAGGGGAAATCTCCATTAGCGCTACAACCGAACCCCCGTCTTTCGAATATAAAAGAGGCGGAAGAGGCAAATGGAGAGTCAGGGAATGAAAAAGGAACGACTACTTCTGAAAATACAAAGACAGAAGAAACAGTCCAAGAAGTCACCGACTCAGATGGAACGCTTGAAAGGCGTCTTTCCAACCCAGCACCTCGTCGTTCGTACCATAAAAATGCTTTAGCAACGCCAGCCGAGCTGGGGGCACTCGTCCATAAACGCGCAACCTTTATAACGGCATTCCCACTCCTATTACATCGCGCAACTATCAACCTCAGACGACAACCACCCCTCCTCCTAGCACGTACCATGCAGGTTCTCGGCTTGGCTATCATACTAGCCTTGTTCTTCGCACCGGTCCATAACGATTACTACAGCATTCAGAACCGCGTGGGTTTCATCCAAGAAATAGGCGCTTTCTACTTCGTCGGTATGCTTCAAAACGTCGCGGTGTATCCGGCCGAGCGAGAGGTATTCTACCGCGAAGACGACGACGCCGTATATAGCGTCGAGGCGTTCTTATCGACATATACACTCCTCGAATTACCTTTCGAAATTGCGTCCTGTCTGCTCTTCGGTATCCTAGCAGACTTTGCGGTTGGTTTCCCCCGTACCGTTGAGATGTATTTCGTATACGTTTTCTGCGGCTTTGGAGTCGTGTCGTGCGGTGAGAGTCTGGGTATCATGTTTAATACAGTATTCAACCACACGGGTTTCGCTGTCAATCTCATCTCAATCCTGCTTTCCGTCGCCCAGATCATGGCGGGAATCATGTCGATTAATATGCCAGAGCTTTTCAAGATCTTCAACTATATTAGCCCGCTGAAGTATGCGACGGCAGCTCTGTCGCCATTTACTCTGCGGGGCGTTAAGTTCACATGTGACGACGCCCAGAGGCTACCCGACGGCCGGTGCACCATCGAGACGGGCGAGCAGGTTTTAGATCTATACAAGCTAAATGTTGATCCTATAGTCAATATCGGCGCGTTGGCGGCCACAGTCGTTGTGTACCGTCTTGTAGCGTGGCTCTTGCTAAGGTTGGTAAGGACGAAATGGAAGAGCGTTGTTGAGAAGAAAAGGCCATGAGGTCGAGTGCATACCTTTTTGCGACCCCCTGGATACGGGCATTGAATTCATGCATAATATAATGAGCGAGATATCTATTTAAGAAAATAATAATATAATGTCTGATCTAATATCTGATTTTGCTGTTCAGTACATAATTGATAACTTGATATGACCTCTATCCTACATAATAATATGTATGATATCTTCACTACTAATGGCCTAAAGATGGGAAGATCGTATTGGTGATGATTTGATACCCCTCGAAAATTATTTCCAGGGTTTACTATTAATTTACTGATATCTGAAGGAATGTAGAAGTTCGAAGTATCCAGATTGATAGATATGACAAATTCTCTATTATATCTCCTGTTTCTCCGAATTTTTGAAATCTTTCGTCTTTCGGAAATTAGCGAATTCTTAACTGAAAATTGTATGTCGTATGGAATTATTCAGCATCTCCTATATCCTGAATGGCAATAGCAGTTATATCTACGCCTCACGCCTAAGATTGTATATCGCCAATAGGAGTCAAGCTAAAGCCGACTGAGAGTGGCGTCTTAACCCCTACGGCGATTAGGTTATTTGGGCTTTGCTGATTCGGAGCTGCTTACATGAAATCCGGATATGTCTTTACTACCTACCTATGCGCCGAGAATTAACGGGCGTTCCAAGTCGGTATAATTTCCTGCCGTTTTGAAGACTAGTTTTGCTGTGCCACAACTATCCTTGATGGAGTAGCCGGAGCTATATTGACATCAAGATATTGGTGCGGTATTGGCTCCACATCGGCTGAGAATACGACGGGTGGAGCTTACATAGGTAGGCACAGATTCGATTCGATTCGTTTCGTCAGTTACATCACGCAAGATGCCTTGGAGATCATCGTAAAAATGGTGAAAGGGGTGTGGTGTGATGGTAGTTATTTTGATATAAAAGCTGGAGGTTTAAGCGACAACATAGGAAGAAAATACCCTATATCAACTCACATTAGTTAATCTACAATAGTACAATAGATCGCACATCGTTACTTCACTTACAACTTTGATATTAACTTCACCAAGCAATTACTAACATCACCAAAAAATACACAATGGCGCCTAAAGTTCTCGTCGTCTTAACTTCATTCGGCTACATCGATAGCGCTAAGAGGGAGTCCGGCTGGTATCTTGTAAGTGCCTAACCTACACCTCGAATGTCAACAAGTATCTGAATTAATTTCTCCAACAGCCTGAGTTCGCCCACCCGTACGAAGTCCTCTCCGGGAAAGGCGTTGAGATCGTAACCGCGTCACCTAAGGGGGGTGTCGCACCGTTGGACCCAGCATCAGTGGAGCAATTCAAATCAGATGCTTCCTCGGTCTCGTTCCTCAAGACCAAGTCCGCGCTGTGGGAACAGACAGCCAAACTTTCCTCTTTCCTAGGGCGCTCAGGAGAATTTGACGCGTTGTTTTATCCGGGTGGATACGGGCCCATGTACGACTTAGCAACTGACAGCGAATCCATCGCGCTGATTAAGGAGTTTGTTGCGGCAGGCAAGCCTGTCGCTGCAGTGTGCCACGGACCTGTCGTATTTACGGGCGTCACATTACCTGACGGCAAGCCTCTTCTCGCTGGAAAGAAGGCCACAGGCTTTAGTAATGCCGAGGAGGGAGGTATCGGCCTGCTCGAGCACTTGCCCTTCTCACTCGAGGACAAGATGAAGGAGGTCGGTGCTGAGTACAAGATAACAGAGAAGGTGTACGACCCATTCGTGGTAGTTGAGGACGGCGGGAAGCTTATTACAGGACAGAACCCTGCCAGCTCTGTAGGTGTTGGTGAAGCGCTTGCGAAGGCGATTGGTGTTTAGAGGGTTGGCTCTACGGTGAAGTAGGAAGACTGAAAGAAACTAGGAAAAGGGGGTAATCAACCCTGACATCAGTCAGCCGAAGTCCCACCGAGATAGGAGTCATGAATAGGGGTAGCGAGTGTTAATTATTATATATCCTCGAATCAACTAACTGTCATTTTCATTCATAAACCACCAATAAGTCTGTTGAATTAAAATACGCTGGTGCGACAGAAGCAAGATGCTTTGATAGGCACATCGGCGTTAGCTATTGCCGCATCTAACTGTGGTTTTATAGCCCTAGCTTCGTCAATGCGTCCTAGCTTTCCTAGGCATTCGTGATAGCCATGTAAAGACCAAACGTTATTCGGGTGCTGTAATGCGCGGGGGAGCTTGCCGTCGATTCCGAGATCCTCGGCGTAAACTTCGACAGCCTTATCAAAATGGCCTTGTTCCATTAGTAATGCCCCGTACGCATGGCTCGGCGGCTGCATCCAACCCCACGGTTCGTCGAAAGGGAGGGCATAGCTTCGCTCAATTGCCACACGTAAATGTGAATAGGCTAAGTCATAGTTACCCCTCCGGTATTCTAGCTCGCCGTCTAGCATGGCTTCTCCGACCTTCAAGCTATCAACACATCTATTGTTAAACACCATTCGTGACTCCGGAACCCTCTTCGCAGCTTCGGCAAACAGCTCGCGTTGCTTGGATGCCTCTTCAACCTTGCCCGTAGCAGCTAGTGCTATCCCCTTAGCGTAGTGGTTCAGGGCATTTGTTGTGCAGTAGAGCTTGCCGTCTTCGTAAAACGGTAGGTCGATGATCTCCTGCCACCGGCCGAACCGAATAAAAGCGTGTACACGCATACCGAGGAAACCCTCTAGCCAGTCTGCCATAGGTGGTGACTCGACGCGTAGAAGTTCCTCTGGTAGAGTCTGTTCGAGACGGGCTACGGTATCGAGTGTGGTCTTCAACTGCCCCGCGAACATGCCGGCGTAGATGCGGAAATGAAGGTCGTGCATCCGGTAGAGGGTATAGAATTTCAAGGGATTTTCTCTCGCAAAGAAGAGATCATCAGCGATAATGGCCTTTTGATTTGATTCGATAGCGCTCTGGTAGTCACCGAGTATAACGTCGATATGCGATGGCATATGATCGAGATGACCAGCATCAGGAACAAGATCTCGAAGCGCGTTCGCTGCGTCCAATGCTACCTCGGGGGTTGTAGACATCTCCATAAGATGTATATAGAGATGAAGCAGACCCGGGTGCTGAGATCCACCGTCTTGAGCCATCGAACGCTCTAGGATAACCCTGGACTCCAATGTGTGAGCCCCTGATGCTGGTTTTCCGGTAGTGAGATCCCAGAGTTGCCACGGAGTTAAGTTCATCAACGCATCCACATATAAAGTAGCTATATCCAGGTCATCTGGGAACTCTTTGTAAACTCTTCCCATCGCATCGGCATATTCTTGATTCCATATCGACCATTTCTTATCCCCCACGTGCTCTTGTGGATAGCGGAATCTCAGCGCCTCAACAAGTGCTTTCTCAAGGGGCAGTGCATTGTCCGACCTTTCCCTAGCCTGCTGAACCACGCCATGGGTTCGTCGCATGACATTTTCCAATTCAGTTGCATCGAAGAAGTCCCAAGGCTTATTATAATTCGGACCCAAGGCATAGGCTAGGCCCCAATAAGCTAAGACACAGTTGCTGTCGCAAGCGAGAGCGTTTTCGAAGCATTTGACAGACTCTTCATGATTGAACGCGTAACTCCAGATCAAACCGCGATTAACCCATTCCCGAGCTTCTTCGCTGCTCGAGTTCACCGTCCGTCTATAAGAACCAAGATTATAATAATTATGCATGATACTGGTTGGTTAGATGAAGTTCCTTAGATTTAATACACATCATTAGATACGAATTGTTGAGAGAGAGAGAGAAAAAGGGGGGAAAGGGGGGAAAGGGGGCTAAACCTGACCACAAGAACCTGACAGGTACCTTAGGTACCTGATTTATATTAGTAATCACCGAACATTAGCCGTATGTTGTGATCTATATTCACGGGGTAATCAATTAACTTCAGTAAATCAATAGTTAGTTAGTATTTAAACTATATTGACTAATCCAACATTATAATATCCGGTTTTAATGCGGAATTGGCACATTTGGCGATACTTTGGTAGGACCAACCTCAATTTTTCGGTGATGTCTTGGTAATGGCAAACTACCTTCGCTCTTGCTTTGTTGGTTCAATGCAATTGGTCCCGGACGTATAACTTCGAACCTAATTTTTTCCTCCAATTCAACTCGAGACCAATTACGCCTAAAGTAAACGCCCGGGCTATTACCTTCAAAAACCTGCACATTTCCAATAATTGTTCGCTGGCGCCATTCTTCAGCAGCGCCGTTAGACTCAAAGATCACGGCCATACCCTCATAACAAGTTTGTAGACAGGTCATTCCACGGGCAAGGGGGAGCCAGACATCATCAGGTCTTTGGTTAAGTATACGCGCTTCATGATTCATCGCTTGATAAGCTCGAGCGTAGCTTTGATTCGGGAACCGGAGAACGAACTCTTTTTTCTCGAAATCGTACATAAATTGTAGGCGAACGTCTTGCACTTTAGGACTAGACATCGCAAAGTGTAGCCTGCGGAAATCTATAGTTAACGATGATATCACCCCGTCGGTTATTATTCAAATTTCTTATCGCAGTCTCTCTCTCCCCCCCCCCCCGGTGTCAAAGAAATTGCAGACAAAATACCTTTGATCCAGGCCTCGCGCTATTTGAACGGGTGAATATGACCTTTTCTAGCTAAACACAGTAGTAGAAAGGAAGACCTAGGTAATTCTCTCGCAGTATGGAGAATATAAATCTTAGTAGTCGCAGGTATTTGTAAAGATACCTAGATAATAGTCGATTATTCAGAAAACAAAATGTAGGACTCCAACGGCGGCGGTATTCGGAGAAACCCGAAGAAAATTGTAGAAAATATTTACTTTCAGCTCCGATAGTTCTGCTACCTAACACCCCACTACTATCAATAATAGCGAAGCAATGTTGCATATCGGTTTTTATACATCACTCTTACCCCTCAAACCCTTGGTTGTGGCTGAGTGAATTCCTTTTAGTTCCCACTTCTTGTTGAAGATTTGTCGCAATTCGGCATTCAAGCCCTCACCAGGTATTCGGCTTAACCCCCAACTGTGCCTTAGGTATTAGTCTCAGATATTGAGGCAGGGCTACGAGTATTGAAGGGACAGTAGGTACCAGGGTGCCTACCTAAGGTATATCTATCCATAAATTCTAGCGATCCAACGTTACGAGAACAAGATGAAGCTAACATTATCGAAAGACAAAAATGGACGATGCTATAGGGACTAAGATTTCCGCCGATAGAGACGATAATCGTTCATTCATACCAGAGAGAGGTTTGATCACCTCGTCCTAGCTAAAATATTAAGTCTAATATAAAATTTCACTCATAGCTAACTCGGTTACGACAAGGGATTGGGTAGATGAATTTTTAATCGATCATCATGACAGAGATATCTTTGAGATAAATGAGCAGAGGGATTCCGCAACCCCTTCACGGCAAGTATTTAAATGGGTGGTATAATAGACGGCCCTTCCCACTCCATTATAGTTTCATAACCAGATTTAGCAATTTACTAACTCGTCAAAGTTCCTGGTTTAATTATAAATCAGTTAAAAAGTCAGACGATGCTGAGAAAGGAACAAGAGAGAGGAGTCAAGTAACTTTGAAGCTCAGTTTAGCGGCTCTCAGTCGGATGCGAATGCGAATGCTGCAATTACAGCTTACCGACATAATTATGAATATTCACTATTCTAAGACGCTCCCAGACAACTGGGAATCTTTGCTTGAAAAATACAGTAGGTTATTTTCATATTACACCCTAATGCATTAACACGCGAGACTAATTATCAAGTTGCCGCAACGCGTGATAACGACTACATCCGGACTTGTGCTGATCGAGATTTACATGATCCATTCCTCATCCGAAGCCAGAGGAATGTAGACGCCGCTGTACTAAAAGCAGCTCTTTTAGAAATCCCTGCAGAAAAGTTAGAAGAGGGATTATTCGTACCTGGTGTAGGCGGGACACGGGAGCTCAACTTTGCTCCTCCACTAGAGCGGGAACCAACAGCTATTGGAGGGACACGAGCCGAGATGACTCAGAAAGAGCGGATGGATGCATTATTAACGAGGGTACTGATTTCCATTATTGTAGGGGCTTTCCTCACTGTCCCTATGTGGCTTATGATATCAGTAACGACCCCATATGCATCGCCGATTATAACAACCGTATTTGTCTTTGTAGCCGGTATTGCTGCAGCACGGGTGCTTGATAATGATCTCGCGGTTGTCTCTGCTACGGCGGCATACGCTGCTGTACTGGTTGTTTTTGTAGGTGCGAATGGTTCTTCGACGTAGATGTTGTTAGGGATAAATGTCAGGGTATAAGTGGGTAAAGAGGCCTACAGGGGTCTTATCTATTATATAAGCGCGCGTAGCGCCTTCGAAAGAGAGTAGAAGCCAGGCGTTACTAGTTCAATATATCATCCTTTTGGTCTACCTATCCTAGATATTCACTCTGTGTATGACATCAATCACCTGGGTATAAACCCCCTGATAATAAATAGGAGGCGATCAACTAGCTTACAAGGCAAAAAATGCTAATCCTATTGATACACTCGTTTGATAAATAGACAGAATCTACTCTCCTAGTTAATTTATGTATTACCTCCGTATACTACTTATACTATAATAGTACTAGCATACAGTTCTAAGGAGTCATAAGTGCACAATTGCAACTTCACTAGTATCTAGTGACGCCTGAGATAGCTCGGCTATAATTATTACACACCTGGCTGACCTGTTAATGACTTAGAGTTGAATATTACCTGAGTATCTTCTAATACACCACGTTTTCTACGAGTGAATCATCCTTAGTATTAGACACAGTATGATGCAACATCGACATCTCTTATGGGTCTATGTATTAGTGAATAGATCCATATGGCTACGTCTTATGTTAGGTGATACATTAGCATATAAAGGTACAATACCTTACGTACCTAAAAAGCAAGCGTAGTTCAGATGATAAACCCATACCACTGGTATATAAATCGCACTTTCTTTTGGCTACATTTATTCTCGAACTTTCATATCAGCATCTTCTTGTACATTAATAACCAAATACTGCTCTCTACCTCCCTAGCCTCACAAGACGGCATAATTTACCTGAACGCCGACCCATTTCACAGAATTGAACAACCTTTGGAGCAAAAAAAGATACCACCACGTTTGAGTCCCGACTCTGAATCCGAATAAGCGATGCCGTTTACATTCCCCGACGATGGCCTCGGAGCTGTGGTTGACCATGAGAATCTTGAAACAGATCTCGAGTTTCTTCGCGGGTTATCACCTGAATGCTGCTCCGACTTGACAGTGCTGTCTGTTTGCTTGCATTTGCATCCCGAATTCCCATTCTCATCCGGTTGTATCGTCCCTCTCAGTCAAGAACAGATTACCGACTGGCAAGCTGCTGCCAAACACGTTTTTTCCAATGCCACACCGGGAAAATTGACACTAAATCTGGTATGCGATACAGGAGAGGAGGATAGCGAAGCGACCTTAGCAGTCCTCCAACCCCTGCTAGACTTTCCCGGTGTTTTGGCCGATTGTGAACTTCGATTGCACAACAAGAGAAATAGTCACATATCTAAGTATGCTGAAGAGGTAGCCCTTCGTGCTAAAGGGTTGGATACGAGTATACAAAAGCCTTTCCCGTTCATGCAACTACCACCGGAAATTAGGCACGAGATACTAAGGTATACAAATTTAGTGGCACCAAGTAACCAGGTCCAATGGAGTCCAAACAAAGGCTTTCATATTTGTCGCTGGATCGATTGCATCCACGGGAAATGTGATGTTATTATTAATGAACGTTGCTCCAAGTGCCAACCTCTAGGCTGTGTGAAGCCTCGATATGGTTGGCCTGTGACCGGGTTCAACTCCTGCCGTCTTATTTTCAGCGGATACTCATCGCGCTGTCGGTGTTGGACTCCACCACGATCTCTGATGCTTGTTAATCGTGCCATGTACCAGGAAGCATGCGACGTCTTCTACAACTATAACCGCATCATTGTATTCCCTATAGTTCTCGATGGCCATAACGTAACTTACGCTTCGTCAGGAACCGATCAACGCCCACTACGGTTACCAATATCGCAATTCATTCTAAGATATAGGCAGCCGAGCATCCTCTCTCGTCTGCGTTGTCTTGAGATTGTATTTCCGCCTATCGATCCGGATGCATACCCAGATGAACCCCACCCTCTATATTCGGATTGGTTGCTTGCTATAGACCTTCTCAAAGTCCATGGGAATATCCCCAACTTGAGAATTAATATTCACATGATGTTTCTTGGGTCTGACAACTGGAAATCTCAATACTTCGTCGATGAAATGAAATTGGCAAACAATAATACTGAATCTTTATTCAAGGTCCACAAACGCCTTTTAGAGCCATTACAGGCATTGCAAGAGATGAAGAGCTTTTATGTCCATCTAGAATGGCCATGGCATTGGACATTAAAGGCACGCCAGAATCCCACTTGGTGCCCAAAAAGGTCTGGTCCGTGCGGACTCTGCAAATGCTGCCTCGCTGACAAAATAGAAACCAGTCTGGAGCAGGCTGTCATGGGTGTGGAATATAATAGTCATGCGATTGGAAAGTCGAACGAAACACCCAGCAACTGGCTTGTTAAGGAATGGAAAACGTTTGTTTTCTGGGATCTTACTCATGTTTATTAAATTAGGCATCCTTATAATAGTGCTTATAGTGCTTATAGCGGGGACTCTGGATTACTAAGCCACCTGATAATTCATTTAAATTGACCCCTTTTCAATCTTAGCATCTTCATACTCATATGTCGGGTACTCTATGTTAAGCGGGCAGGTATTAATTTTTCAATACAGAGTAACCTTTTCCCTTAATCTCGTATAGAAAATGACAACAGAAACCATAACTACCGTGGATGAGCAAGGTAATTTATGCAAAAGGTGTAAAATACTATTTTCAAGAGATGGCTTTTCTCAACTACTTTCTACAAATACATTCAGACACTCAAAGCTTGGGACTTTCCCGGACCGACCAGATTGTCGATTCTGCACTTACCTTTGGAACGAAGACTTCATCGGAGGGTCTATTAATGTTCTTACAACGCGACGCCTACGCGATTTGATTTACCCTGCATCTGGCAGAATAAAGCCAGAGAAGCAACACGAACTTGCCGCATGTTGGGTAGTCATTACGCGTCCCATAAGAAATCAATACATTATGGGAATCTCTGGAGCCACCGCTAGTCTGGAACCGCTTACAATAAATAATGACTTAATTCAAGTCCAAGGTGTTGACAGAATATTCATAGCCATAGAATCGGATGAAGGACGTACTAAGTGGCAGGCGTTCCGGCCATTGCGTTTGGTTGCTTCTAAAGGTACTCTAAGTTTCACATCTCGTAGGTTTAGAGGGTTACAAAATGTACTTTTGGCCAGCTAATTGTAGTTTTCTTAGATAGTTCATTGGCATCATTTACCAATTTTCGGCCTGTTGAATGGAATGGCTTAACTGAGAGATGGACCGACGATATTAAATCGATGCTCGAACATTGCCGAACATCGCACCCTCAATGCGAACCCTCTGGCCCAACACCACTTCCATCACGGCTATTGCAAATCAGGGGAAGTGGGAAGGCCTTTCCAGAAGTACGACTAGTCGATACGAGAAAAGAGTTAGGAAAAGAATTATATGCAGCCTTGAGTTACTGCTGGGGAGGCCCACAACCATTGGAACTCACAAAAGATAATCTCGACGTTCTCCTTAGCAATGATCTAGACAGCATTTCCCTCCCACAGACAATAAAAGACGCAATTCTAGTAACGCATTCCTTAGGGTTGAGTTACTTATGGATAGATGCATTATGCATCATTCAAAATGATCCCGAGGACAAGAAAAGAGAAATCAGCCAAATGTGTACCATTTACCAAAACTCTTTCGTTACTATCGCCGCTGCTACATCCACCTCCGTTCATGAGAGCTTCCTCAATAATTCGGCAACGTTCAATACACGACATGCCACCTGCACTGTCTCTTTCACAGACAATTTAGAGGAAGCTTATAATCGCACAAGTCTTAATAGTATTACAATCTCACCTGTACATGCGCATAAGACCGACGTCTTTCCTTTAAATAAAAGGGGTTGGACATTTCAAGAGGCTTTGCTCCCTCCACGACTACTGGTATTCGGAGACCTGGAGCCATTCATCCGATGCAGAACAAAGAATGTGATGAAGAAATCGTGGAGCTCTATCGACTACGAGCTTTCTGCTGTGTATCCTCGGCGAATTATTGACAGCATAGCGAGTAGAAAAGCTCACGAAGACGGCCTGTTTGTGGATACGAAAGGAGGCGATCTCGACAATATCTGGCGAGAGATCGTGGAGCAGTATACGCTTCGCCAGCTCGGTTATTACACAGACAGACCACTCGCTATCAGTGGTGTGATAGACTTCCTCTCCAACACTTTTCAAGATAAATGCCATTTCGGCGTCTGGGAGTCTTCACCAATAACTGGGTTATTATGGAAGACCATGCCCTTAGATGAACGAAGGAGTATCGTCGGCCTACCAACTTGGTCCTGGATGTCGATCACTGGCCCTGTAGATTTGGATTCTGTCGTTTACTTTGACAAGTCAGAAGCGTTAGTTGAGTGGGACGCCAATTCCTCGCATAGTCGACTACTGGTATCATGCCATGTTCTAAAAGGAGACGGTGTATTTAATAGGGCGGGGAAGACTGGTCCTAAAGTACTGATCGAATGCTGGTCTGATTTTTCTGAAGGCTCAGCTGAATATCACTTCCTGCCAGAAGAGCAGTCTTCGTTCCTAGTGCTCGCACGCGAGACAAATGGGCGTTTCTTGGCATTGGTTGCGGCGTGTCAAGGGGGCAATGTTTACCATCGGTGCGGACTGGCTGAGCTGAATATCCCGAGTAACTTGAAGTTAGGGTCACACGATCAGATTGTTCTAGTGTAATGGCAATACAACTGCTTATTAAATTATGAGGGTGAAGATGGGGGATTATGCTTTATTTCTTAGAAGAACCAGTCTTCGTCCTGGAGTCCATAATCAATACTCAACAAGGGAGATGGCATGAAGCTGTAGTGGCGTTGGCTCTAGCCTTAAACGGCGATAGAACCGGGTATGTTGAAACTAGTGTTTAAAGGGTCACTGATAAATATAGCACGGAGCATCTTGACCAATATGCATTCAAATTTAACGTCACATTATATGTATACAGAAGCTACCTACTCTATAGGATATCCTATAGGCCCCTAATGTATCTTGGTCCTATTATTTTACTACCTACTATGACTTAATCACGAGCGAGACATAGGTATATTGCTAGATTTAATCTGGCTTGTAGAGCCTTTATACTATTCATCAACCGGTATATTCGGAGTTTTCATACGGCCTTGATTATACCCATAGCCATATGGTTTCACGGCATAGTTGGTTGCATTATTGCCAATATATCATTTAAATACATATAGGCAATTGGGCTATAACATTATCTAAAATGAACATGGTGGTATTACTTAGTAAGGCATTGATGATAGTACGACGGTGGAAGGATGAATGATTAGGCCGTGATAAAAAGGCTTCCGAGTAATAATATATTGGTGTAATTTTATAGGACTACTCGCTGAGAATATATAAATATCTCATTAGAATAAAATATGGTTCTAGTGTTCTTCGAATGGTGGTCTTGAATCACGTCTCGGTGAGCTCTGGGTGTCATTTCTAAGTCCTGATATCGTACTAAATAATCTAGGTACATGTAACCCTCTGATTTCAATAGGAGGCTCTTATATATGCTAGAGGGATGTGTATCTACTTGATTGGCAGAGTATGCATCGTTTCATGCTCTGAGTGGTTTGCTGTCGTAGTAATTGGAGAGGCTTCTGCGAGTTGAGTTGTCTGCGGCTGAATCTTTGCCGCCACTCTGGGCATAGCTCGGGCAGCAGACCCAAACTTCGCGTCCAATCAAGCAAACTATCTCCCACACGATAGTTGCAGATCTATAAAACTTTTTAAAATCATGTTCCATCATATTCGAACCCTTGAAGTTATCCGACCTAGAATAAATGAGGCTGAAATGAGTTATTAGGGGGAGTGCTATTAGGCATAGTACGAAACATCTCAGCAAGAATGTGTATATAAGCCAGGTTTTCTCTCCACTCACAAAGAATGTTAGTTACCTATTCAAAGAAATCATTTATCCCACTCATATAGTATATATTCGACTAAGAGACATTCAATTAACATGGCAACACACGACAGTGACACAAGGAACGTCGATGCCGAGAGTGAAACCCGAAGTAACCTAGGTACTCCTACTCGTCGATCTATGAGTGAAGAAACTTCCAAGCTTTCGATAACGCGGCAAGCACCGACTGAACCTATCCCCAAAAGAATTTGGCATACGTATACCAATTATGCTTTTGGATGGATAGAACACGAGTACGCCCTCGAGCAGAAGAATCAGTGTATCCGGTCCCAATTGGGCACCACCACAACTACACGCAGCTCGGTAAATTCATTTATGCATGGTGTTGCTCATACCGTCGGGGCGATACAACCTAGCTTTACCTTTGACAGATCGGATTTTCCTTATCCTGCTTCGTTTATAAGCGCGACTAATGAGCAGGAGCGGCCGCGACAACAACAAAGTAATCGAGAAGATGTTCTGAACGCCGACCCGTCACCTGAGCGGAGCGATCCGGCACAGGAAGAACGCGGTATCCTCACACTAGTGGATACCAACCAATCCGTAGGGTCCTCACCGTCCAAGTTTAAGAAACGGAGATTAGGTTTCGGCACTCGTTGGTTTGGCATCACGCGATGGTCGGAAATCAGATCCCAAACTCAAGTCCAGCCTACCTACATCGTCCTAGGAGTCTTCCCTCGCGGCTATGCTAATCCACGAGAGACGGTTGTATTTATTGACAGGCCAGAACAACTCTTCTTGCGTCTTCATTGGGCTGCTTTCCGCTTGCGCGGCTTAACTAGTAGCCTCTTCTCTCTCAGACATGTGAAGGAGTTCAGATTGTATAAAGTACGTACGTTTTATATTTCAAGATATATCGTTAGTCTAACATACTTTGCAGTGTGATTCTCAAAGGGGGACTCACGAATCTGTCGACCTAGATAGTTACGGTACCGGTGATTTACGGTTACTTTTGGCTACCTATAAGCAGTGGTATGTCACCGACTATATGGCAAAGCAATGGGCGGTGTGGATCCACACGGTATTGAATGAAGATTCACATAAAGTCCCCAAGGGTTCGTATTCGCTTGAACTGGTGCTGGACTGGTCAGCGAAGAGAATCTCAGCTGTAGTGCTGTTACCTGTGCTGCTAAGCATCGCAATCGGGATTTGGCTGAACTCGATGGACTGGGCAGACCTAGCAACCATCCAGACTGCCTGGGGTACTGCGTCTTATGTCGTGACGGCAGGGGGTCGTAAGTCGCCACTCTAGCAGGTTGAAATATTTCAAAAAGCTAACATAGATCAGTAACGGCGGCATTGTTAGGTATTCTAAGCAGCATTTCGGATTAATGGTTCTAATAAGATTCTCATAGCCGGCGATTTCTTTCTATATCGTCGGTAATATTAAGCCCGTTGAATTCTTCACGTGCTGTTGTGTATGGGTACCTATATTCTATGGTAGTGTTGATGCCTATAATTAAGGAAAATATTAGAAACAACAAGACGTTAGCCAGCACTATTATATGCTTATTAAAAAGGAACATATTAATTTATGAAATTGAATAAAAATGTTTAAGGAGATTAGAATTTTTTATTTCATCGTGCATCTTTCCAAGGCTGGTCATGATCTTATTTGGCTCCTGGCAATTGGGTGACAAATACATAGATGATACTAGTTCAACAACGCCTTCTTTAAATAATATAATCTAATATATCCCTGATAAAATGGAAAGAGTTCGGAGTTGCCAGAGATTGTAATAACTTCGTATATCAGCAATCCCCTCGCTAAGGTCGAATATTAGCACTTAAAAATGAGGCAAGCCAATCATCCTCGCGGAATATCGTACAAGGATGAGACCTCCCAATTTCCCAACATTAACTCGTATAACCCATGGCGCTTGTTTATTAATGAAATTCTTTTTCCTTATGTAACTGTTCAGTTGTATCCTATGATGCCTTCTGCGATAGGATCGATGCCATGTTGCGACCACAGAGTAACTCTGCGACCAATGATTCCCTCACCTCCAACCTCAATTTTCATAGGATGACTAAGAGGTACTTCTATCGAATGTTCCTGATCGTCTTGTAACGTCGATTGCGTCCGTTTCAAGTTAAATTTGTATAGAAAAGGACTTATTATAGCAGATCTCGTGAGATCTCCAGTCTCGCTATACAAGCCTTGTTAGTGCTGTTACTCGCTCCGGGCCAGATTTTTCTACAGATATGGATACTTACTGAATACCAACGATACATGAATCTAAATTGGTGAAGCTACTGTTGCCACTGTTTTCATCTGGTACAAAGGTGGCATGAGTAGCAACAGAACTTCCCTTCCCACAGTCGTGAAATGTGAGTCGACCTGTCATTACTGTAGGCATAAATCGAGTGGTTCTTAATGGAAGACTGAGTACGGCGAGGGCGCCACCGCGGGATTGTCGAGAATGGTTGCCACACATTGTTTGGGTATTATTTGGATATTTCTTTTCGGAGAAGACTTTCGTTTAGAGTACCTAAGGACCTCTCCAACTCACTTAGATGAGGATAATAAGAATAAACGATGCTGCAAATAACTTCTGCGTGGTAAAACAAGTTGATTAAAAAAATAACGAGATACTACATAAAAGTATCTAAATATTTAACAGGTATTTGACAAAAGTATTGAATAGAAAATTAGGTAAAGATATCGTGCCAAGGATTCGGGAGTAAGGACCAGTTCTGTTGTCCCTCAAGGTTCCATGATGCGGCTACACTAATAGCGGGACTATGTACTATTCCGATCTACATTCGTCTCACCTTTGATACGGAATATTCCCTATTATGTAACAATATAAGCAAATAAGAGCATATTAAATATATTGGTAGAAAAGTGAGAGAGTTCTGATTGTTACGGCTTTCACACGTAAGTTGAGCAAGTTTGCGCTCTTTGAGGCCGTTTCGTGACCCGCTTCCGGGAAACCGTCGCACAATCACAAAGTTTAGTGAGTGGCCAATCATTGTTAGCCGCTCTTACCCTTGATAGACGGCGTACCTGCTATACCAGAATAACTGGAACATAATGTACCTTAGGTACCTATTCGAATCTGAGGTCAAGAAGACGCAAGAACGCGGGGAAGGAAAGAGGACCTTGATGGTCATCCGGCACCTGTTATTTTGTGTTTGTCATCATTATCATCGCCAAAGAGCTTTTCATCTTACAGCACGTAGCTTTGCCCTACCTTACCTACCCTTTTTACTCTTACCTACTTACCACCAAACCATTCTTCGTACTCTTTACAATATTCTCTGCAACCAGGACTCCCCTAGTAGATATCTATCAGCGCACGTCTCAAAATGGCCGCAAAGACGTACTCTCTTCCCCCGCTCCCGTATGCGTATGATGTAAGTCTCATCCTGCTTGTAGTCCGACTATCTCTCTACGGAAACATTATTCCCCTACTGATAACATGGCGTACTAGGCTTTGGAGCCCAGCATCTCCAAGCAGATCATGGAACTGCATCACACCAAGCACCACCAGACCTATATCACGAACCTCAACAAGGCCGTTGAGATATCAGCCAAAGCTCAGTCTGAAGGTAAATTGCAGGATGCTGCGGCCCAGCTGTCAGCCATCCGTTTCAACGGTGGCGGTCACATCAACCATTCGTTGTTCTGGGAAGGTCTAGCACCCTCCTCCTCTCCGGACTCGAAGCTTGATGCTGCCCCGAAGCTCTCTAGCGCTATCAAGGACACCTGGGGTAGCTTCGACAAGTTCAAAGAGGTTTTCGGAACCGCCCTACTGGGTATCCAGGGGAGTGGCTGGGGTGTAAGTACATTGTAGATATTATCTCTGTTCTTCATTGTCCTCGACATTCATATTTTCAACCAATATTTTGGGTTGATTCAAACGTATCACTACTTAGTCTATTCGATAATGTCCCGAATTTACCATAGCTAACTCTATTTGATAACGTAGTGGCTCGTCAAGGAAGCTGTCACCGGCCAGCTCCGCATTGTAACTCTCGCAAACCAGGAGGCAGTTGTTGTGGGCGATACTCCCCTCCTGGGCGTTGATATGTGGGAACATGCCTATTATCTTCAGTATCTCAACGGGAAGGCGGCTTACGTCGAGAACATCTGGAAGGTGATCAATTGGAAGACAGCCGAGGCGCGATACGCTGGAAGCCGAGATGACGCCTTCAAGGTACTCAAGGCGAATATGTAAGAGTAGATAACTAGATGATAGGAGTGCGGTAAATATCTGCCACAGGCCACTAGTTTAAAGAAGTTAACTTCGTTAGGAAGACGTGTTCTTTGACGTTGAGTAATGACTTTTGAAGATCATTGCATTTCCGATTGACGTGCTGATAACTTTCCCCAGGAGTTTGGTTAATGACGTAAGTCCTTGATAGAATGGAAATTATGCGAAATTGCATGAGAAATGATTAGTAAATCACCTTGAACTTGAATTCCCTAAGGTTTTTGGAAGGATTAGGTACATAAATCTGCCCTTATCCCGGTAGGTACATTGTAACTCGTACTGCCGTGTAACATTAGATCTGTTTAGTGGCACCCACAGAAAGATAATTGACCCACTGATCTAATTTAGTGGCGGTATTTCCATTTAAAACCGCGGGGATATTTCGTCGCGTTTTTGATGTCTTCACGCGTCAAGCTCTAGACTCGATTCCGAATTCAACCACGATGACGTCGACAAGGTTACAGTTGGATTCTACACCTCTTTCTTCACCTGATTCATATGCGACAGCGACAGAGTCTCCACGGAAACTATTGCATACTACAACATCAGATATTGGCAGCCCTATCGTCAACGGTAGAGATGCAGCCGACAAATCGTATAACAAGGCCAGCCAGCTTCCCCCGGAACTTAAGCAACACTGTCAAATTTACTTGGAGGAGAATTTGTGTATGCCTATTTTCTTTTGAGAATTTCTTGTAGATGGGTTTCACTGATCATAGACTGTTGTTTTCTAGACCTAATTACTCTCAACCTTTTAAATAGCCTATTATCATCCAGTCGTAAAGGTCCAAATGATCCTTATTACTGTCCTCCACCGAACCAATTATCGCTTCTTAGCACAGCTGTCGTACACCCGAAATTTACCACTAGACCGAGGGAAGAGGGCTGGTCCGAGGTATCTGCTGAGTCCCTTGTCTACCTACGAAGTCTCCTTTCTCGCGTAGGACCTATCAACGGCCGATTTAAGGAGGCTTTCCGCTTCGCGAGCGCCTCTCGAAATGGCACACCGGAGTCTTATTCGGGCGATGATCAGAGTTATGGCGGTGACGACGATGGTGGCGAGGGCACCTATACGCAGATGCGACGTAGACACTATCAAGATGGTCTTTGGCGACGGGGACAGGATTTTTTTCACGTGGTCGGCTGGGCATTCAATTGCAGTGTTCTCTACCCAAACCGCTGGCGACACTGGAGACATTGGCTCAAGTTCATGATAGACTTATTAGAACAAGATCTCATTGAACGCCATAATCTAGACGTCCAAAATGGCCAATCAGACTGCCCTATGCTTCGGGATTCAATTCTAGCCAGTTATGTTGCCCAACGCTCTGGACGCTCCGCAGGAGGGTTAAAATGGATCATGGAAGCTATATTTGCTGATGGCGGTGTCGCTGCGAGTTCTCGCTTCCAGGAGATCTGGCAAAAGGAGCACAAGGAAAATACTAAAAGCACCGCAAAGAAAAGGAAGCGTGAAACTGTCAATATTGACAAGGGTAATTTTGGAGGCTGGCTGGATGATGAATCGGTATACTCTTCTCAAACATCTGAACCGCCGACACCACAGAAACGAAGGGTGAATTCGGGTGATATGGGAGACCCGGATTTCCAAGCGTTAGAGCCCGCCTATGTAGAGTCGATTCCTCTACGACAACGTCTCTTCTCCTTGGTAAGATAATTTCCATTCGCAAAACCATGTAGCGAGCTAATAAGTAGAACAGTTATCATATCTCTGTCACTACCTCCCACGGCCTCCGTTAGACCTCTCTGACCTTTACCAGAGGTTTGAAACGACGGTGAAGTCCCTTCCCCTACCCATCTTTACTGCCTTTGTAAACAATCGGACGTCGGCCCTAAAGCTAGAATCGCAAATATCTACATTACAAGGTATTCTATTACTCTTAATGCCCGCGACAGCTCTTTCGCCAGCCAAAATCGACCGTACCTGGCAGGATTCAGATAGCATAACTACTGAAATCTTGGAACGTTGTTTTCTTCCTTATCCTGCGAACACCATTGCAGTCGAAGACAACGCGAAGGTATCAATACTAGTTGAAAATTTGTTTCAGATCTTGTGGTGCGAAGGAGGTGGAACAGTAAGCCAAGGCCTTAGAGCAGCAACTGAGAAAGGAATCGCTGCGAGAGGGGCAAAGGTCAAAAGGAAGAAAACGTCAGCCCGGGGACGAATGAATACCGAAGACCCGGATGTGGAAGCTCGCCTTGTGTTAGAAATGTCAGGGGACAGGTTACGCGTACTGCTCGACCTTATTGAAACCGAAAGTAATGGTTATGGCGCAATGGAACCGGAGGCGATGGATGAGGATGATGACGAAGGTATGCATATCATTTTCAAAGAGTAATTTTTATATCCCCTTATCAACAATTACTGATTAAACATACAGATGATATTGATGCTACTTTTATGACAGCTGCCGATAACATGGAGAAGTATGAAAACGAAGCTGAAGAAAAGCTATATTGTTTGTGCCAGGACAAGGAGTCCGGTGATATGATTGCCTGCGACAACCAAAACTGCCCATATGGATGGTTTCACTGGGAATGCGTCGGTCTCAAGTCAAAGCCAAGAGGAAAATGGATGTGTCCCCAGTGCGTACGTCCCAAGCGCGGAAAGCGGAAGTAATGTTTAGTTATGGAGTTTATAAGGTGATTAAAGAAATATGTATATCTTTGGTGGGAAGGAGTTAATATCTTTATTTTATGTGAGCCTAGGCGGCTCAAGTGTTGGCATTGGTGTCTATTAATGCAACATAGAATTCATGAGCTGTCTCGTTATACTATTTACATGATATTATGATATACATAGGTACATACCATTGCTCACGCAATAATATAAAGCTATACCATCCGCTGCTTTCTATAAACTCATTCTCACCGTTTCTTCGCTGGTGTCGGACTCCATGCTTCTGGTTGCCAAGTTTCGCCAGGGCCACTGCTCCGTGCGCGTTTCCAGGGGTCATCCTTTTGTTGTGTTACTTCGTCGAGTTCATTCCGAGTCGGTGATTCACGAGCCGCGTGTTCCTGAGGTTGTGTTTGACCCGCGTTGAGCGGGGGCACCGGCTGTCCTCTCTCGCGACCCGGTACGCCAACGAGGCTGGGCTTAGCTTCCCAGCGCGCATCGGCCTCGGCGGCAAGGACTTTAATGCGCTCTTGGCGAACGACGTCACCGGCCTGCTCGTCAAGAGTTGGGGGCTGCTGGCGCTGATACCGAAGCCATTGATGCCACGAGGGTGGCACTTTAACTTCGCTATAGTGCGTAGACCGCGGATAATTGACGATGCGCCGGAACCGGGAGTCCGGGGCGGAGGGATCGCCGCGGACTAGCCGGAATTCCCAATATGTATTGCCTTGAAGGTCGAGGCCTATAATTTAAGGGGAAAATAAAATAGAATGTGAGTTAATCATTCGAGTTAAGAGAGTAATAGTATGTATTATATGAAAGGGGTAAGTAAAATAAGATATTATAACTCACCGACGAGAAAGCGCTTTCTCCACGGTAAACGGAGAGCCTTCCACTGATACCAGGCCTTTCGTATAGGACCTATTTGCTTTAAGGTCGACATTGGAATATGATTATATTTATACGGTACATAGTCGAGTAAAATTTGGTAAAATTGGTATATTTTGAAGGTTGGTATTATGACAAAGTTATTCTTAGCTTTATAACTATCAAGCCATCGACTCAATCTCAATAAAAGTCCAAGTCGAAAGTCGACGTCAGAATTATTGAAGATGCGATAAGATAAGAAAAATATACGCACCGCCACGGACATATATTTTCAATGTAAATAGTCTCCGCACGTAAGCCCCATCTGTAAGTCAGACCGAATCAATTCCATAATGCCGATGGGAAACGTCATCCCTGTCGCGCAGCCTATTTCCTAATTGTGCAATGGCATTTAGTGGGGGCGTGGAGCCCTGTTGTCTTCAATACTTGTATTTGTATTCTTCATTAAGACGGCGCAACCGCCATCTTCAACTTCTTATCTTTTTAATAGACGCATGCTCGCTAATTTGGTATTTGGTATTTATAGAAAATACTAACGCGTCGTCAATTCTCATAATTCTCGCATAGCGTTCTAATCGCCATCTCTAGTCATTTCTTTACTCTCGCTCTCCCTCCCTTCGTCTATTCGCATACCAATTATTGTCGCCAGTGACGTCGTCTCATCTCATCCCACGTATCCTCCATTCTAACCAGCAATTCTCCGAACTGCAAATCACTATTACTACCTTCATACTACCTTCAATACATAGGAGCCGCTTTATTGCGCTTATAGTTAACTCCCATATATAACTACCTACCTAGGTACTAATCTAATTACATTGATCATCAATACCCACAAGTTATCACACAGCAACCATTGTCCGTCAGAACCACGCGAATAGAATTCCGATTTAGTATGGCATCAGTAACATCATTGGACAAGGACTTGAGAAAGTTGCGCCTCGAAAAATATACTCCAGCTGCTGCAAATGAGGCACAGTCGTGGATTGAGGGTGTATTGGGTAGCAGACTTCCATCCAACGATCTTCTCGACGGACTTAAGGATGGCGTTGCTCTATGCAAGTATGTTCAAATATACCTACATGCATATTAACTACTATATCTTGTAGTTTAACTAATCATTCTTCTTTCTTGTAGACTCATTAATCTGGCTGTCGGTCCACCCGGCGTCAAATTTAAGCAATCCGCTATGCCATTCATCCAAATGGAGAACATCTCTCATTTCCTTCGCGCCTGTCAATCGCCGCCCCTGAATTTACAAGATCACGACGTGTTTCTTACAGTAGATTTATTCGAGCGGAAAGATCCTGCTCAAGTTCTCCAGTGCCTCGGCGCATTCTCTCGAGCCGCGCATTCCCTTAACCCCTCTGCATTTCCCTCCCCTATTGGATCGAAGGCGAAAATATCCACCACCATGAGCCCGCAGAGCACAGGTCCAACGACCCCACGTAATAGAAAACTGTCTAATGTCAGCAACAACTCATCCACGTACGGTTCACGGTCCGGTATAACCCCTACGAAAACTGGAGACTCGGGCTCGGGACGCTGGAGTCCTACCAAGAGTCCACCACCATCGAGCGAACGTATAGGATCGCCGTCCGTATCTAGTTGGAGCAAGAGAGACCTCGAAGGAGTTACAAGCCCCGCATGGAACATTGCGCAGTACGGCTATATGGGCGGCGCAAGTCAGGGTAACCTGGGTATATCCTTCGGAGGGCGGCGGCAGATTACCAGCGCCAGTCCTCTTGTCCCCAACTTGGCCGATAAGGAGCGCAAGCGCAAAGAGCAGGAAGCCGAGACCGAACGACAGAGGTTGCAAGCAGATGACGAGGAACGTATCCGTAAGGCTGAGCTAGAAGCTGAAGAGGAACGGGCACGGTTAGTAGAGGAACATAGATGGGAGGAAGAGACAAGACGATTGCGCATCGAAGAAAAGCGCAAGGCGGAAGAAGAGAAACATCGGTGGGAGGAGGAAGAGCGTCAATGGAAACTAACAGAGGAGAAAAGAAGGAGGGAAGAAGAAGAAGCCGAAGCAAAATTAGCCGAAGAGCGCCGTCGTGCGAAAGGTCAAAACGATAGTCGATTACAAGGACAATTTCTTAGCCAATACCAGGCCGAACACGATATCACTCCGCAAAAGAGTGGCGGAGGCGGATATAGCGATCGTATCAAACAGTTAGAGCAAGAATTAGAGTTGGCAAGGAAACGAGAGATGGAATATGAGGAAGAGCGACAGAAGCGGTCACAAAACCGAGCGCGATCTCGTAGCCGGCCAAAAAAGGCAGAATCCAGGCCACCCAGTCGCCAAGATTCGTGGCGACCAAAAGACGAGCGCGAGTTCCTCAGTACACAATGGAATCGACGTCAGCAAGAGCAGCGAGAACGAGAGCAACAACAAGAACTACAGCAAGACATTGCTCCTCCGCCTCCGCCGCGTCCACTCCCCGTACCTGGATTGGCTGCACCAATAAAGACCAATCGCACAGGAGAGAAACCACCTGTTCCCGTAAAACCTCAAAGAACTGGAGAGGGTAGGCCCCTTCCCATTCCGGACCGGCTTAAGAACCAGGCAACAGGTGGCTCGGGCCCAAACTTTTCGGCACGGCCCCTCCCCGTCCCATCCCCGAATTCCAACGGTAATCGTACGGATCGCTTCCTCGTTTCCAACCCGGCGCCCGCTCCGGCTCCTCCACAGCAAACTTACTCTCGTGAGCTCGACGCCACAGCGGAACGTGATGCAGAGGACAGACGACGAGCCGAATCACAAGTTAAGACGAAGGCAGGCGGTTGGGCCGGCAAATCATTACTAGAGCGCGAGATGGAGATGGAAAGGCAAAGACAGCGCGAATGGGAAGAGTCTCAGCAGGAGACAGCTAAGGCAGTCAGAGCAGGTGATGGTGTAGATGGTATTGGCGGCGGAGTTGGTGGCCGGTGGGACGTTAGTCAATGGAGTGGATATACTGGCGGTGACAGCCAAAACAATGGATCTGCGGGTATCGGAGCTGGAAGGAGGCAAATCGTTGGGCCTAGGCCGTTACCAAACAGACCCGGACCGTGAACAACCCTCCCAATAAAATAGTGCGGAATTAGTTACCTATCTGTTCCCAGTAGTGTACTTAAGGTCATTTGAGGAATAGAGAGAGACCCAATAACGACATTATGCAATATATTTCATCAAATTCAGGATTAGAACGTCGTCGGCTTATTCGAAGACGAGTATGAAGAGGAAGGGATTTATAAGTTTGAATTATATTCAAATCATTTAAATTAGTAAGCGTACCTACCTATTTACCTTTGCTCAGATTTTGTTATACCAGTAGGAATATACGTTGTGTTATAGGTCTAATAATTAGATCTGTAATTGATCCTTTCCACAGTGTAATAAACGTATAATTCTCTACACTTTGACTCAAGCTTGTTAGGAATTGCAGCAGGTCAAAAAGTTACTCTTCATGTGTGAGTTTGGATTAATGATATAACGCTATGCGTAAGATATGTGAAGATATCTACATAATCAAAGATGCGGCTTAATTAGGTACCAACCAACATTATGAAGCAGTATCGGGGAGCCGAGATATGGGGTATTGTCCTACACGAAAGACCTAATATTATTCCCATTATAACCGAACCACCGACTGCGCATCCGTCGTCGTTCTTATATCGCTATCGTCCAATGAGCTTTTGAGCCAACAGTAATTAAGATCCGTCCCCTGCGGTCCAACGTCGTAATAGACAGCGCCTGTGCAACGCGTGTTTTTAGCACACAGTGAAACACATTCCTTCATCGATTCGGCCTTAAGGTTCTCGATATCGCGCCCTTGGTGTGCTACGTCGCACTCAATCCTGAACTTCGTTCCAGTGCCTGAGTCTGTATACGTACTTCCGTCGGTGCCTAGACAGCTGCGTACTGAGCTTGGAGTAGCTGTAGGTGAGGCACTTGTACTGGAGGGTGAGGTCGTTGTGGGATTTGGAGAGCCTGTAGACTTGGCTGAGTTAGTAGCGCACAGCAGCAGCAGTTGTAATCGGAAAGTCTTTGTTATAACTAATAAATCTACTATAGCACAGAAGGATACCATAAGATCTTAACTTACTTGATTTTCACCTACCACTGGCGACGGTGCTGCCGACCTATCAAAGCGAAGTTTTGATTAGCAATTATACTACATCAAAGATGAAAATATTAGGATATATTTACTTACGAAGCTTTGATGGATTGGTTCCTTTGGGTTACTCCAACCGCTGCGCCGACAGCCGCTCCGACGAACGCAACTACGAACATACATATCAAGAGTAACCAGAACACTCTTTTTCGAAGTCCAAGTATGGTAGGCGGTTTAGAGGCGGTAGCGATATTCTGATTTGATTCGGTATTCCACTCGTTGGGTTCATCTTTGATATAATTATCCGGAGTATTTATAACCTGCGGCTCATAGAAGACCTCTTTTCCCGGAGGGATGTTTCGTGGGTCGGGTGAGCCAACTTCAATCCCTTCTACGGGAGGATGTACTTCTGGTGCGAAGGGATCGTGGTCAAGAATCTTATTTTCACCACCCATGAGTACGAATCTCTTCTTAGTTCTCTCTGGAGTCATCGAGTTCTCTCCACCCTGACCAAGATGGCCTCCTTCAGCACAGTCCCAACACACAGGCGTGCCCCTCCCGTCGGAATAATGCGGACAGACCAGATTTAAGTCGGGTCCGGAGGCGGTATTGTTTGCCATGTGTGGTCGTACTGGGTTTATAAAGGGGGAAACGCCGAGCTGCGCGCGACGTATGAATGATATGTATACCACCAGAACCCGAAACTGAGAAGTAAAAACGCAGCAAATCAACGAGTGCGACTGAAGAAGGTGGGCAGAAAAACTAAAAATAACCGTCTTCTGCCCATTGGGAATTCAATCGAATCAACAATCAGGTATAATCTACCCATGCAGTCTAGAACCATCACGGGGCGCTACTGCTAGATAGAGACCACTCAATACTACGCTCGAGGTTCCATCGGGGGCTAAGGATTCAGCTCAGCCCATAGGAACTCTTCGTATAGTATGTTGCTACCTTTAACTGCAGCCCTATAGTGAAAGGGGAATAGAAAAGGAACAGGGGAAAAAGCCAATAACGACAATGGAAATCGAACTTAAGCTCTCTTATTAATTGGATATGGGTTGAAAAGAAATGCGCCGTCAGTATTGGTGTAAACGCGATTCCGAACTGAGGCTTAGTCTCCGATGCATTTGCTTAATCCAATGCATTTCACAATTGTTATGAGAGTATTCAAAAATTAGCGGCGGGCCGTACCGTGAGATATAACTTGATAATTGTGTTTCTATTACCATTACGAATGTAAAATTAATATGATGCCTGAGATTCAAAACTGTATTTGTAAAGTTGTAAAGCAATATTTATATTCTTGACGATTTAGAGTCTATTCCAACATAGTTCTAGGTTACACCCGAGGTGGCTGCTATGTAGTGTACCTGGACCTACATGTGGCTGGACATGGCGAGTGGACATGATTGAATTCCCTCTCTGGGGAATTTTGCCCGAGCTGGACGCTATGCCGAAATTGGTATAGCTTATATTGATCTGATCTACTGGGATCCGGCTGTGGATAATAGGTGGAGTTTGCCCTGACATGTGGCGTTCATGCTAAGACATATGTTAGGTACATATGTACATTGGTATCGTTTGCTTTGGTGATGTCACAACATCAATTTATTATCCACTTATATCAGCATCAAGATTCTAGCTCATCAAAACATTCTCTTCCCGGCCGTAACTTTCATGCTACCCTATCTACCTCCTTATCTACTCTACTAAGTTATATCAACCTATTTCTATCCGCTCCCTACTAATTATGAAACATGGGCCTAATTATTGTAATAATCTTACGAGGGACAATACCTCAACATTTAACTCTATACCTGCATCTGCAAGCTGTAGTTCACGGCCTTGAATAACCTTAACCTTGGCTGAAGCTAACGATGAGTCGCCATCAACGTCACCGTTAATTGTAACATACTACCCATATTTTCTATATATATGACTACCCAAGAGTAGAATTCTCCTCAACATACCGGCTAGATTTCCACCAAACCAAAAGCGAATTCGTGATAAATAATACGTGTTAGAATATAACCGAATGAGACTAAGTTTTAGGTTCCAGTTGTATTCGTAGCATTGTACCCAACAATAGCTCACGAGGTGTGGACTTCAGCTTCGAGGCAACTAATGCGGCTATGACCCCAATCGAATTGGACAAGCCTTCAGCGGCGCCAATAAATGCTGAAGCGTCTGAGCAAGACCAGCTCCGAGTACGCGATGTTCCGCGAGACGGACACCACCGGGCTATCGTCCAAGATTCGCAAGGGAACCTTGTATATCCTAGCTACATTCCACCGGAGATCGAAATGCCTATTTCGCGCGAGAGAGCCGTATCGGATGGCGTACCAGATCACTTCAAAAGTCCCAGTCCGACGGAGGGCCCCAGAAAATCTAGGTCTGAGCCTGTGAACAAGCAATCTCTCAAGTTAGCACAGTCGTCATCTAGCCCCCAACAAAACCAATATCGGACTTCACCGTTCTCAGCTTTCCCTCTCATGAAGCGAGCGGGAACGAATGTTTCTATGCTTGACATGGCGCTACAACAATCTTATAACGAAAACAAAGACGAAGATACATCGGACTCGTCATCGTCGGAAGCGGAAGATGGAGGAAAGGCGACGGGAACGCGTACAGGTCAGTCCTCAGGACAGCCGAAGCGGAGAACATCCCATGACAGATATCGGCGCTTTCGAGTCGCGAATGAATTATATCGAACCAATGGCAAGGTGTCCAAGAGAGATGGTCGATTAAACATCACAGTCAATGACACAAGCAATACCGGATATCTCGCGAAGGCGCTTGGTACTGCCGTTAAAAAGGTCACGATCAGGAAGGCCGATGAAGGGAAATCTAGCCATCCGCTAGCATCCTCACGGTTATCTTCAGCCACCACGGCAGCATCGGAGAAATGGAAACGGCCAAAGCTGAATATAGTAATCATGGTCATCGGTTCCAGGGGTGATGCTCAGCCGTTCTTGAAGATAGGAAAGGTGCTCAAAGAAGAATACGGTCATCGCGTACGTATCGCTACTCACCCTGCCTTTCGCGACTTTGTCGAGAAAGATTCGGGTTTGGAATTCTTCTCCGTTGGAGGTGACCCCTCAGAGTTGATGGCCTTTATGGTTAAGAATCCCGGGATGATCCCGACGCTCGAGACAGTGAAAGCTGGAGATATTGGAAAAAGACGTGCTGCTATGGCCGAGATGTTTGGTGGATTTTGGAGAGCCTGCATTAATGCAACTGATAACGAAAGAGGCGCCCACAATATAAAGATGATGGGCGAAAATGACCCATTTATCGCAGATGCCATCATTGCAAATCCACCAAGTTTCGCACACATTCATTGTGCTGAAGCTCTAGGAATCCCTCTGCATCTCATGTTTACTTTCCCTTATACACCTACACAAGCTTTTCCTCACCCCTTAGCAACTATAAAAAAATCTAATGTGGACCCTGGATATACTAATTTCATATCTTACCCCTTGGTCGAAATGATGGTCTGGCAAGGACTCGGAGACCTCGTTAATGATTTCAGAGTTAATACCTTAGGGTTAGATCCGGTATCTACCCTCTGGGCTCCTGGGGCGACCTACCGCCTTCATGTCCCTTTCACATATTTATGGAGTCCGGGATTAGTACCTAAGCCAGACGATTGGGGCGAGGAGATAGACGTGTCTGGTTTTGCCTTCCTCGATCTTGCCTCTTCTTTTGATCCACCAAAGGATCTTGTTAAATTTCTCAAGGAAGGCGAGATGCCAGTCTACATCGGCTTCGGGTCGATCGTAGTTGACGATGCCGAGCGCTTCACAGAAATGATATTCGAAGCTGTGAAACAAGCTGGTGTTCGAGCCTTAGTATCGAAAGGCTGGGGTGGTCTTGGCCGGGTAGATGTTCCTGATAATATCTACATGCTAGAAAATACTCCACACGATTGGCTTTTTCCAAAGGTTCGAGCCTGTGTCATCCACGGCGGTGCCGGAACTACTGCTATCGCACTCAAATGCGGCAAGCCGACCATGATTGTACCCTTCTTTGGCGATCAACACTTTTGGGGTTCAATGGTTAGTAATGTAGGGGCTGGACCGGTACCAGTTCCGTATAAGAAATTGAATTCCGAGGAGTTAGCAGAAGGCATTAAATTCTGCCTAACGGATGCAGCACTGGAAGCAGCGCAAAAAATATCCAAGGACATCGAACTTGAAGGTGACGGTGCCCAAAACGCGGTGAAGACATTTCATCGAAATTTAACTCTATCCGGAGAAAATTCAATGCGATGTTCAATTCTCGACGATCGCGTGGCGGTCTGGCGTATTAAGAAAACTAGCATCAAGCTCAGCGCTTTAGTAGCCTACGTCGCAGTCAGTCGGGGGTTAATAAATTGGCGGAGACTACGCCTTCTTCGACATAAGGAATGGAATGACTTTGAAGGACCTGGCGAGCCTGTTACAGGAGTTGTTGGCTCGATAGCTGGAACAGTTGGCGACGTATTTAGTGGAATTGGTAGTGTTCCATACAGACTGGCGAAAACTTCACACAAGAGAGCTGAACGGAGAAGAAAGAAGGAGAGGAAGCGACAGCAAAAACAAGATGCCCTAACTAAACGCTCAACCGAATTCCCGTTTCCAATACAAGGAGGTAGTGGTACTGGGGCTGATACGAACGGAAGCGGTCGCCTTGAACATGCTTCGACGCGTGCAACTACGCCTGGGACAGCTCCTCTTGAGCCCTGCCAAGAGGAGTACATGAACGAGATAGAAGAAGGAATTGGTAAAACTGGCCGAGCCATAGCGCATGCACCTGTTGATCTTTCACTCGCGCTGGCCCAAGGTTTCCATAATGCTCCTCGTCTATATGGCGACGAGACCGTTCGACGCCCAATCCGGATCACGGGAATACGATCTGGGCTCAAGGCCGCAGGATATGAATTCATATATGGCATCTACGACGGATTCACCGGACTTGTACGATTGCCGGTTCGCGGAGCTAAGGAGGATGGAGTCAAGGGCGCACTCGCGGGTGTTGGCATGGGACTTACCGGATTTATATTAAAAGATATAGCAGCATTGGTCGGTCCAATAGGCTATACACTCAAAGGTATTTCAAAGCAGGCCGACCGCGGAAAGCAGCCCCTGAAATACCTCCGTCGCGCACGAATCATTCAAGCACAACGGGAACTTAGTGACCTAACAGAGGCCGAACGCAAGGCAATAACTGATACAGTTCTAAAAGGCTGGCAGGTTATGCGCCGATTGGCTGATGCAATTATACGGGAGAATGAGAAACGATGGTTCGTACCCCGCTTCAGGACCAAGAGCAAGAGTGCTAGGAAGGTCAAGTCGTTAGGAAAATACGGAAAAATTCCAGCATTTGAGAGTGTTGCGGCTGCGGAGAAAGCAATAGAAGCTATCACACGAGGAGAGGATATCGAAACTGTGCTCGGGAAGCGTAGGGGGCTCCAAGATGAATAAGGAGGTTGATTAGAGGATTATCGCGAACTCAGCAAAAACGGGACGAGAGGTAGGATATACTAATTGATTAAAGGGCAACAAAAGGCTAGGGCATGGGGGTAATGCTAAAGGGGAGATTACACAATGAGTGATATTCACTTCTATTATCATAGGTCCGACGAATAATTAAGGAGGCCAAGACCTAACACGGGACGAGAAATAAGAGCGAAGTAGAATCGCCTTGTCGGATTCTATTTTACAGCAATAATGCTCTTGCCCTTGAATATTTTATATCTTGATGCTAGTTAGCTTGAGGGTTTTTGAAAGACATCTATTAATGCGGTCGATTACCATGAAAGTTAAGGATAATATACACGAATGAATAATAGCCTTCTAGTTGATATGTTATAACAATATCTTTAGAGATACTTCGTAAAGGGAGTCTGTTTATTAAATGAGCGTTATAGACATTTTGTTTAGGTAGTTATCTGGCTGTTTAGGTACCTAAGGTTCTTGGGGTAACTGTTGGTACGAAAATCCCGGGGCTGTGGTCTAAACGCCGAAACTTCGGAGATGTTTTCATAACGAGTGCGTAATACTAATAGTGAGGATCTGAGCCCTCAATTTTCTTTTAGCTAAATAGCAAGCTATCAAGCAAGTATGAATGATTGAAACAAGTCACTAAGGATCGAGAACCGAACACGAATTGTGCTGTTGTTAGTGATGTCGAAAGAGAGACGATGATGATAATCTGCCTTGTTACATATCAACTCTTCCCGGGGTCTCGTACCGGCGCACTTGTCATCTGCGGCACTTGAGTTCCACATATCTGTATAAGAGTCAGCACCGCTCCATTGAGTATGAGAAACATTTCTACGTGTGGGAAGCTACTTTATCATTTACATCGTACCTCTACACTACCAGTTAGACCTTCTTTTCCGAACACCCTAGCTATCTACCTCTCACACTCCTATCGCCGACAATATAGTATGGCTGTGAATTTTGATGCTTCGTCGGAAAAGGAGGCGGGCTTACTCCGTTTCCTTAAAAGCCAGCTATTTTTCACACCGCCGCTTATTACTCGGGAAGAAGTAGATCTCGCTGGCAAGACAGCTATAGTTACAGGCGCAAATGTGGGCTTAGGGTTAGAATGCGCTCGCCAGCTCCTCGACTTGGGATGTAAAGTAATTCTTGCTGTGCGTAGCGAGTTAAAAGGCGAAGCTGCGCGTCAGCAGCTCGCCCAAGGTCGCGACGCGCAATCAACAGATATCGAAGTTTGGAAATTAGACCTTGATTCATACGACTCTGTCGTGAGTTTTGCTGAGCGCACCAAGACTCTTGAAGGGCTTGACCTAGCGGTTCTTAACGCTGGCATTTACAAGGTCGATGAGTCTTTCAATAGTACCACGGGATATGAGGAAGATATCCAGGTAAACTATTTGTCAAATGCTCTTCTCACGCTCCTATTAGCACCCATCATGGCAGAAAAGAAAACGGGGGATGCCCCTGGACGTATAGTCTTGGTGTCTTCTGGGATAGCCAATGCGACCAAATTTAATGAAAAGGAGTCGAATCCAATACTTCCGGCTTTTAAAGAGAAGATGGAGCCGAAGTGGCTGTTTAAAGAGCGATATGGCACATCCAAAGTGCTTGTCCAAATGTTTGTGGCGGAGTTGGCAAAGCGAGTTCCATCTTCTGCCATCGTCGTCACCGTCGCTAACCCTGGCTTTTGTCACGGATCGGAAATCATACGCGACGGAGAGGGACGGTTTGTGGGCTATTTATATAAAGCTATGATGGCAACGGTTGGCCGTCCTTGCTCAGTCGGTGCTCGTATATATGTTCATGCGGCTGCGAGTCCTACATTAGGCGAGACAGTCCATGGGCAGCATGTCGAGGATGCAACGCTTAGGCCGTGAGTTATACCCTTTTCCGCATGATAGCTGTCTGAATAGATATTAACGAGTTCGTGCCTAACTTAGTATGGCACCACTGATTTATAAAACCGAGGGTAAGCAGGCTGCTTCGAAGATGTGGGAGGAGATAATGGATGAGTTTTCGTTTGCAGGAGTCAGGCGAATTATTGACAGTCTCACCAAGTCGGCTTAGATTTTACTTCGGAGTAAACAGCGGTCAATAATCAATACTACCATAATCTTATAAGAGCTTCTAACTCTTGTTTGGTTAGAAGCTGACCATTTCAATGCAACTTTCGTCAAGCTGCAAATTCAACCTGCATAATGCTACTAAAATTAAGAACGCGTCTAGTAAAGATAATCCCCGAACTAATAGGGAGTATATAATATTAAGTAGTTTGTTAAAGGCACTGGAACAAGTGAACCTCTTCATCTAAGTATTAGATAGTAGAAACAAGACGAGGAGTAATACCCCGATATATGAAAAATACCTATTATCAAAGTACCCAACCCTATATCATTCTACGCCTATATATGCCTACTCAAAAGGCGCAGGATGCGAAACTACCCAGTAGTGTGGTATCACGAAATTCGTCTAAATAGGTAACTTTCCTGAATCGGGAATGAGTCATAACGGGGCTGAGATTTATCGTTCTATAAGTAGGAGAGCTTACCCCGAGTATCAATTATGGAATTGCTTACAGCAACTATACACCTTTATCCACCACCGTCATTTGTTTACTGACTTGATTATACAAAGATCTGGCAACTACATTAACTTCAATTATTCGCTGAAGCATTATTACGAAAATCTGACCAAGGGACTGACTTATAGTTCACCATGGCAGACTCCACTTCACAATCGACGCCCGCACCAATAGTAACAACAGACAAATGCATCATACGTGCATACGCGCCAAGCGACGCCGAGGGCGCGGTGGCGGCAGCCAACTATCCAGAGCTTGTACAATACATGCGCAATACCTTCCCCCATCCCTATACGCTAGACAGCGCCAACTACTGGATCAACCTTTGCCTAAACAGCGACCCCATGGTGAACTTCGGCATCTTCACGCCCGAAGGCATCTTCGCCGGCGGCATCGGGCTGACCCCCTATAAAGACATCGAGTATCGTACGTGGGAGATCGGGTACTGGGTCGGAAAGGACTTCTGGGGGAAGGGTATTGCAACGAGTGCTCTCAAGGCGTTTTCCGTCTGGGCTTTCGAGCGGTTCCCAGAACTGATAAGGATTGAGGCTGTGGTTTTTATCGAGAATATTGCGAGTCAGAAAGTTTTAGAGAGAGTTGGTTATACTAAAGAGGGAATACGGCGACAGGCCGTCTGCAAGAAGGAAAAGATTATGGACCAAGTGATGTATAGTTTACTTCGGGACGACCTTAGGGATTTATCGTGAGCTTTGGGTAAGATGTCGCGGGGTGTATTTGCTATGTTTTGAGGGAGTACTAGACATATTAGGTAGACATTTATATTGGAGTTGTACAATTTCAAATCATAATTCCAAATTATGGATTTGTGTCTTATATTACCTATCTACTATGTTAGTTATATTAATGAAGTACATAGACGGAAGGTCAGTATGAAAAATAGGGGCTAGGATAACAAGCTGCTGGCACGGCATTTCCCACAATAATATAAACTACTCGCTATAAGCATATTCCCCCGAGAATATACGGAATAGTTATAGGTAATCAAACTCATGCCATGACTTCAACTTCGCCTTAGTTATACATTTCTGGCTATATGCTATTCCCACCGACATCTAAGAAGTTGTGTTAGGTAATTGTGATCGCCTAACTGGCGTGAAACCCTGGAAGAGGACTTGCATTCTTAAGTCTTTATGTACCTATGGTATGGTATAGAACTAATATAATATAGGTACAAGGAGCACCGACCAACATGTAGGATGCTCAGTCGACGTCAGAGTCATCACACTCGCTATAGTCATCATAACTACCATAACTATCACTGTCATCATAGTCGTCAGAGCCATTATCGTCGTCATTATCGCAGCCATGGTTATCATAGCTTTCCTGGTCGTCGTAGTTATTATAGTCGTAGTGGTAATCATAGCCGCAGTGGTCATCGTGGTGGCTTTGATCTCCATAATCATGGTTTTGGAACTCAGCTGGAGGCTCAGGACAATTGAAGGGGGATCCATCATCGAATAGATGTTCTGATTCTGCCTCTGCGGGGTCCGATTCTGAAGAATCCAGCTCAGTAATCAAACGGCTTGACTCTGAGATCTGTGACGGGTTCTGATGCGGTACGCCTTGAAAACTGGCAGTGATCTCGAAATATTCACCGCGATAATGGGCAGACAACCCCCTCGATTTGTCGTAGATATCGCATACCGAACTTTCTGCTCGAGCACTCACTGTACTGAAATGTGGTGTAACTTGGAAGTCGCTTTGTACTTTTACATTTTCTGCGGCGGTTCTGTATCTTATACTATGTTCCTTGAACTGGGCTTGGGAATCTCTGAAATCTTCGAACTCAAATCTTCGTAGATTATCCATAGCTTGCCATAAAGGGTCTCGATTTTGGGAATCTCCGAAAGGCCCATTTCTGTAAATATCCGTACCTGGGGACCCTGGGTCTGTATATGAGTCTTCGTTGTCCGCAGGGTATGAAAGAGGCTTGACGTGGCTTCTAGAATATCCTTGGAATCCCCTTTGCGTTGGGATGGCCGGCTGTGCTTGTTGGCTGGTATTTCCGGCGTTGGAGCTCACATACAGTGTTAGACCTTGCTGCAGATGCCCTTGTGCCCCGAAGTTGTGATTATGGCTTGAATTAATAAAGGTGGGGGGTAGGTATGGATTTCTATTATCAGCCTGGTTGGGGTATGTCTGTCGGTATTGGGAGTAATCTGGCTGAAGCTGGAGATTCTGGGATGTAGATACCTGTCTAGCCTTTGCTAGAAGAACGCTCTCCCTATCGTCAAGATGTTGAAAGAATGCTCCGAGGGTGGTATTGTCTGTAGGCTTTAAAAGCTGGGATTGGATCTCAGCATCAAACGCCTCGAAAGCATACAGCAACTGGATCTTGGGCGGTAAGTCACAGGCTCTAGCATCTTGAATAATGCTATAAACAAAAGGTCTTAACCCCTTGCCTCTCTTCAGATCTAGTAAGGTGAAGGAGGCCGATTTTAGACTCTGCAAAGCATTGCTAGGTGATTTGCGAAACGCTTTGATGAGCTGATGGATAACCCAATCCAAGCTCAACTTCTGGAGAGCATCTTTCTCTATATCCGTGAGTTCCATAGAGTACCACGCCAAAGCTGTCTCTTGGAGACAATTTATCCATACCGCCTTGACATTGCCTTCTCCATGGGAAACAGCGAGCTGTCTTAGGCGATCTGTGAATGGAAAGATGTTTGTGAAGACTGTGTACTTTCCTACGGCAATAATGCCAGTATTATGAGGGTCCTTGAGGGAAGGGTTGAAGTATCCGACTGTCTCAGGCTTGAGAGTGTTACTGTTAGACGTTCCATTGGGATTCGGATTTCGGGATTGATATCCCTGATTTCGAGTCTGTTGGCTGTCCATTCTATATGCTGTTGTTGTATTAGCTTCAAAGCTTTAGCAGCGTAGAAATGGTAGAAATCGGCCGGGAAGTTTGGTGATGAAGTATTCCCGGTTAGGAGTTGTTTTGCCTTAGGTACCTACCGTACCTAGGTACCTGTGACGATGAAAGCGTACTTACTTAATTTAGAAAGCTTTAACAACGTAGCTCCAAAGCACCCTTTTGCCTACCTGGGTACCTAATTGCCCTAGTGAAATGTACTTGGGACCTCAGGAGCACATGTAGTAAAGGATTAAGGGGTAAACAAGTTACACTTCGAAGTCTATATGCCCCTGAACTCTTCCTCATGCCGTAACAACTCTTTTGCGTCTTATGTGCGCCAATCAAGTTGACGATTTTTACTTCATCTTCTTCAAAACATAGGTAATGTTGGGATTGTGGTCACGTGACAATGTCACCTGGTACTGTCATGTGACCAAGGGTTGGGCCCCACCCACACCCTAATCCAATTGTATATATTTAGATTCCCCCACTTTTCGTAGATCTTCCTCTTTCATCATCAATCAATACAATAAGACGTCACTTTTACTACAAGGGTAAATGGTGATATAAAGTAACTGAATCGATTCCCCAGTCAATCCAACACATAAAGACGATAATAAAATTATCCCATAGGTGTTATCGATATTGCAGATAAAATGTAGCTGCAAATAACTCAATTCAGGTATAACAGATATAAGTCTATATTACTACCGTAATCTATAACATCCCGTTGTTAACTCGTATATGCTCCTCCGCTAAACTATCCGCGTCGTTCCCCTCAAAGCCGAAGTTCCAGAGACGGCTCGGCGTCATCTTGCTGTGACCCCTAAAAACTCCGTGGCTGCTCCGGCCGCCGACGTGCTGCATTACAACCGGCGTCAGCGCCCAACGTAACATCCCGGTTTCGTCGGCGTAGTCTTCTATGAAACTATCTGTTGGTACCTCTGACCACCTATTATTACGAAAAAGGGGTAACAATTCATTCGACACCGTTGCAGCAGGGAAAACAAGCCCCTGGCCGCAACAAGCGTGTTCAGGCATTAGATGTACCCCGTGGGGTTGTGGTAGTACACAGTTGCCGCCCGCAGCGAAAAGGAGGACTAAGAGTAGGGGTATGAAAACTAATAAGACGAGAAGGAGTACGGAATATGTTAGATACGGGCGCGCTGCAGGAATGTAACGCCGTGATAGGATAAGGAGGCTCAGGACAGCAGTCACGATGACTATAGACCAGCCTAGGTATGTCGGCCAAGATTCTGCATTCCATCCAAGAAGACCTTCGTAGTAAAAGAGCCGTAAGTATAGGACTGTTCAGTCAATTAGTGTGTTGCATGCCGAATGGCCATATAACGCATATTGGTAGACCTACAGTCTATATGTCCCATTTTCCAAGACTTAAAGGACGCCTGGTCTAATGCCTGCATTACCCTGTGCCTCCATCCGTCTAGAAACACCACATCATCCTCAACAAGCAAAATATAGGGTGCACCTGTTTTCACACACTCTTCCATAGCGATCGAATAGTCAAACTTTGACTTGGTTCCATGAGTTTTGTCCCGCTCCATAAGTTCAGCAATTGTGAGCCTTTCTGAATTGTCACTATACGAAGGAAGTCCATCGGCCATAGCAATAAGCCACGACTGGTCGTAATCTGGATGGTTTTTCTGGTCGGTATGGGCAAGAAACACGACGAAGTGGAGGCTCTCTCGTTCCTTCGCACTTAAACCGTGTTGTAGAGAGCCCAATGTAGATTTGAGATACGATATCCCATCTCTTCGTACCGAAGGGATGCCTATGCATAATTCAGGCGATGCCGTCGTCCTATTACTTGTTGGTCGTTTATTAGTTCCTGCTAGATCGGCATATTGTATGGCTTGTTGAATTCGATGCGTTGAATATGGAGCGGCATGTGCTCGTTCAGCTTGGAAGAATACGGATGTCGGATCTTTCCAACATACTGATCGAAGATATCCTACCAGAGAAGAGTACTATCACATAAGGTGTTATTATAAAGGGCAAACACTGATAAATAGTAGAACTCCAGTACTGATTATCAACGTGAGAATTAATAGAAATAGGTAATACTAACCATGAACATAAATCCCAGAATCAATCCAATATTGGAGTGCATATTGTATCTAACGTCAACAAAATAGCCCTATACGCAAAGCCCAGAGTTCTAGAAGTGCTATCAAGTAAAAATGCGATACATATTATAAGAATATATTCTAGATGCAATTGTTCGAGTGGGACAAGCTTTCTATCACTAAACATAAAACCGCCATGTTACCTACCTACATGGTACGGAATATCAGCCGTGTGGGGACCTGATAGAAGAATTGTCTTGACTTCGCCCCAACTACTCACCTCGTATAATAAATCTTCGTGCGTGGTTGGTTACCAGTCCTGGGAAAGGTAACTCAAGAATCCTTCAGATACTACCATAGATGTGGCTGTTATTACTCTAATTGACTAGTCCGGCATCGCGAAGTGAGGGACCTTCGTATAGACTAAGGAATAAGATATAATCTCACTCAAGACACTGTAGTATAATAGAGCCTACTTAATCGTACCATCCGAGTAGTGATTTACGATAACTTATTAACGATTATCCCATTGCGATATAGCTTGTATAGCCACGGATGTCTCAGCCACCCAAAGTAAAGCAGCCAACGACCGCTAGGCTGACGCCAGCCATTCAGGGGTAAAGATCAACTCATAAGCATAAGACTATATGGCGAAGTCGTTTCAATGTTGTTTACAAAGGCACTTCCAAAATAATTTTCAATTATAAATTATCCGTACTTGGCATTACTTAATTTAGCAATAAAAACGAGAATAATTCTCTGCGCCAACTTAACGTCAACTACACTAATTATGTGGATCAATACATCCCTAGTCAACATTCGTGTTCATACTTTCGCACTCGACTCCACCGTGACAAGTTGCTTCCCTATATAAGTGCCTATTTATTAATATCGTGACGCCTCACGATTTCTTTCTTCCAGTATGAGATTCCCTAATATGTACCATGTCATCAGAACTATGCCGTCGAACCATCTTTGCGGCGTCTCTATCATAGCACATCTTCAATAGGTCACTCGTCTCTTTAGAAGTCAGCTGGGATACCGTATGCCATATGTTGGAAAATCTCGAACGCCGGCAATATACAATATAAAGCACTATGATTATCAAGACACAGATTATATGTACGGCGGCGAGTGCTGCTACCGAGACAAGCCCGGGACATCCAATCCGTGGAGACAGTAGTGTGCTTTCGACATGGTTTACGACTGAAAGGCTCGCATCCTCCATTGAGTTAAAGCCCTTTTAGAGACGATAATAAACCAACATGGCTACCGAGGCCAAGTTTGTCTGCACGACATCCACCGCTTGATTACTCCCAGTCTCGGACGTGATGATATCACTGGGCATTACAGACACTTCGCGATTGAGAGGCGATGTTAGACCAAAAAACGTGCATGTACCGTATAACATAACGCTTGAATTATCAATTCCGGCGGTTAATATTTGGGAATATATACTAAACATCACCTCTGCTGCTGCATCGTTGCGTTGGCGGTCTAGGCCAGCGTTTTGCTGCAAGGTGTTTAGGTCTAGCATCTTTTCTAAAGTTGGGAACCTTCTTCCTGCATGGTTGATATGATGGGCTTAGGCCATGTAAGAAAGAACTCCTTCAAAATTTTCGCTCATTTTGTCGTAGTCATAACTGTCGGTTCTGAGACTTTTCCACCATAGATACGTACTATTAGGCAATGTTAGGTGATAAGAAGCAGAGCACATTAAGGAAGTGGTTCGGAATTAACTCTCGAAGTTGTTCTTTGTCCAGGTCCCAAAACACGCCATAGACGGGATGAAGTAGACATATAGCGCTATCCCAATCACCGGAGTTGTCATGAGCTGGTAGAGAACATCTAAAGCTGGCCGCTATACACGTTGTTGAAGCAGCTTAAAGTGTAATTAATAATACATTCCACATCCAGCGAGTTCGATGAGTCAAATAATTGCTTGACTTGGCCTGAATAGGCTTGGGTAGATCTCATTTTGGCGTATTTGAATAAGTCAGGTGTAATTTTTTCAATGGATATAATTGGTAACTAGATTAAGGTTAAGTTACTTTTAAAACAACCAGCAGCGCATAATTATGTGTAATATTAAAATAATACGTAATAATAAACGAGTAATTCAATACCGAAGATGGAAAGCGTGTCCATTGTGCTACCACGCGCAGCATTTTTAACCTATATGTACCTTTGAAGCTGGCGATAATCGTATTTTCGAGACCACGATGATATTTTTGGTGGGTGAAGTGGGTAAGTGGGTATTAACCGATCAGATTACGGATTACAGGAGAAGTGTACCCGAAGATTAGCCAGCATCGCCACCATGGGTACCTCAGGTCAATTCCACAATGGACATGTGGCTAGGTGTGGCTAGGTGTGGCTTTATAGGGGTTACTCCCTAAGTCAGTTCGGCGATATAGCCAAATTAGAAGGTTCAAAAGTCAACATATTTAACCTGATTCAAGTGCGGCCAAGTTCGTGCAGTTATTTAGCTTGACTTGACTTATCGAACTCGATGCTAACGATAGATACCTAATCTACCTAAGTCATTGCTCTCAAACACTAGGACTTATTAATCGACGTTTACCTGTTACGTTAATGATAGCGAAGCTCTTATATCGAGGGAAGGATGATAGGGATATAGTCATCCATTATGTTCAACCATGGCGCTCCGGTTAAATAGAACTGGATAACACAAAAGCATGTTTTTTTTGTATTTTATAAATCCATCCATACTACTGGTGTAGCTGAACTCGGCAGCACGTTCCGTCGTGACGATTTACCGAGTGCTCGTCTAAATATAGCCTTACTTATGATATTGACAAGACCCGAACAATTCACAAGCTTTATCCAATCGCCTGGTAGTTTAATATGGGCGTGTTGTTGATTAGTACCGGACTTTTGGCCGAGACAAGTATGTCGTATTGCAACAATACTCGTATATAGAGAGGCATCAATGACATTTGGTTCGCCTTTCCCTTTGAGGCTTTTAGGATTTAGAAAAAGTCGTCTCTGCCCTTACTCGGGGTCCTAATAGTGCACCGAGTTTAAAATTGACGAAAACCATGAAGCTTCGGGGCTCTTTGGCCGCAGTGGCAACAACGGCGATCACATTCTTCGACGTTGCACAGGCCCATTGTTATATCTACGTAAGTAATATCGAAGAAACAGCAGTATTTTATTGGTCTTTGAGTCCACTGCTTTGTTAGGATGGTCACTAGTGAATTAGGGGTCGGGAAGATGGCTATCGTCACAATACTGATCTTTTTAATTGTCTAGTCCGTTTACGTTAACGGTGTTGATAGCGGTACCTTCTCAGGGATCCGTACACCAGCATACAATGGACCACCACCATACGGTTTCGCTAATGGACCCGTCAAAGACCTCGACAGCATAGACCTGCGATGCAACGTGCTAGGTGATCACCAGGTACCGCATACTATCCAAGTGACACCCGGGGACAACCTCACAAGTCAGTAAAGCCTTCCTAGGTCAGAACACTGCAATATAAAGGAAAGACTGGGTGCTTAACAATAAACGTATTTGCAGTGGAATGGCACCACGACGCCCGCACGGCTACGGACGATATCATCGCATCTTCACACCACGGCCCTGCGATGGTATATCTCAGCCCGGACCCACCCAGCGATAACTCCTTTGTCAAGATCTGGGAGGAGGGTAAATTTGCTGAGGGGGAGGGTCCTAGAGCCCCGGGGAAGTGGGCTACCACGGCTGACATAGCGGGCAACGGAGGCAAGATGAACGTGAGAATCCCTAAGGGGCTCAAAGCTGGCTTGTGAGTGACAAATAGGGGCACCTCTTTTGGGCGGAGATACAAGAACCTGCTAATCTACCCATAGTTACCTTATCAGGGCCGAGATGATTGGTCTTCACGAGGCTGAGGTCAGCTACCAGAAGAACCCTATCCGCGGGGCGCAGTTCTATCCGAATTGTATTCAAATAGAGGTTCTAGGTGACGGCGATGTCAGCCTCCCTGAAGGTGTCAGCTTCCCAGGAGCTTACAAATGGGATGATCCTGGCATTATCTACGATGCATGTCTATCTATTAGATTACTGCCATTTCTTATAACTGTAGCTAATAGCCTCTTAGGTTTACTGCTCGACAAAGACCACAACCACTGCCCCCTGTACTACGACTTATCAGATTCCAGGCCCGACGGTATGGTCTGGTGCATGGCCTGATACGCCATCGGTTGAACTCGGTGCTATGACGGGAGTTACGAAAGTTACGAGCTGGAACACTTGGGTCGTGAAATCAGTTGTCACGTCGGCATCGGCTGGACAGGTCTTGGGCACGTCCACTTACCAGGCTCAATGGTCGTCTACTTACCACGCGCCTACACCAACTGCGTAGGTAGGATGGAGATAATTAACAGGGCAGTCATGTTTAACTTAAAGGATTGTGTGCATGTTCACTAGTGATTATGGAAATGGTTTGAGATCTTGGAATTGAACGGACTTAGCGGGTATTTAGGAGATATTTTCAGGGGGTTGGGTTTAGGGTCAAGGTCAAGTACTACTTATTACAATAGCAACCTTTATGCAACACATTCGTTAGCCTTGTAAGCAATAAAATGACCAGTAAACTATTCTTAGATCAGAGCAGTGTATTAAATATGTAGAACTGCACAAGTCAAAACTACTATTTAGGTAATGCTATGTCCATAGCAGTAGTATTTACTGGCGTGTGTATGATCATTACTAACTCTATCTATCCCATGGATACACCTAAAGTCCTAACCTAGATGAGCGACTGTGTTCATGGCCGAGTAAACTCAGATGTAAAACATAGTATCTCTGATATTAGGATGAAGTTTTATCCCATCCTCGGCAGGGACTTTCTCCAGGTTAGGTTCCTGAACATCCTTAGATTTCTCGAGTTCGTGTGCTTTCCATTGACCAGGGTCATCGAATAGATGGTCGAGATAGCAACGAGCCCGCTCACATGCTATATCGGCATAATAGGCAGGAGTGCAAACACTAACCGGTTTCGTGGCACGACCGAACACATAGCAGAGCCCTTGTGTTACGGCCTCTAGCTCGCTAACTGGTTTGCTAAGAGTTCGGAATATCTCGTCGTGTAGAACAAAGTAGTGTATCGGGCGTGCGGTCCCCTTTATCGCGTCGTGGGGTTGAAGATAGAAATCCCAGTACCGGGCCTCCGTCACGCCCCGGTCGACAATAGTTCCAGGCAAAGGGTTGGATTGTTTAGTACCAGGTGTGTAGAATCGCGTATGGTGACGCTTCCCAACAATGACCACGGTAAGCCGCGGCGGATTTTTCTGATAGATGGGGATGCGAGTACAGGCCTCACGCAGAAGAGGTAGCTCTTGATTGAGTACTATCTCGTACTGGCCTTCAGATACACCATCGCGATAAACCAGAATGTTCTTCGGGTAGGCTGGATTGTTCTTTTTCCATATAAATAGTCGTGAGTAAAGCATATCCGCAAGCTCTGATACCATCTCCTGGCGTGCCTTCGCTTGCCGTCGGATCACAGCCGGCCATTGTCCAAGAGAGGAGTTGATAGTTGCAACAACTGCAGCGATGCTTGGGGTATTCTTGCCGGATGAAGGGGACGGGTGGGTGACATCAATGCCCACAACCATAGTCTCGCTGAAGTTGAGTGAGGTTAGCTCATTAAATTTTAGAAGCTGATTGTTTCCACCAAGCTTTAAATTGAGCTTCATGGAAATGTTGGCTAAGTATTGAGCGGGATTCGCCTGCGCACTAAGCTTATTACCGTCGACACAGCTTGTTGCAATGCCGTAGCGAAGATCACCGAGCCTCTTGATAGAGTTATACATTGGTGCTGGCATACGTTTTGGCAAGATGATAAAGAGCCAGCTTAAACCATACTTTCTAGCAACCTGAAAAATCTTGTCGGTGTCTTCTATAGTTTGGACACTAACATATCGATCGTCGCTTAGATCTACCGGCTCTGTGTATTTCATTCCGACCTTGGATAGCTCGCTTTTGAACAACTGTTGTAGAATTTTGGGCTTGCCTTGGTACGCATTTTTTGCGTGCGTACCCGTAATGACCACAAACGACCATTTCCTCATGTTTGCACCTGTGGTGAAACTCATATTTCGAAGATCCCATGATCTATTGCCAGATAATTTGGCATTCTGATAGCCGTTGCCAGATTTATAGCAAACCTTCGGTGCGTATAATACACGAACCGGAACCGTGATTAGGCTTGGCTCGGAATATTCCTGTGGGAAGTTGATACTAAAGCGCTCCTGTATTCGGTATTAATAGAAGTATCTCATACAATCAGTAGAATGGATACCTTACCAAAGTTTTATTTTTACCTCTAAGTCCAACCGAGTTTAATCCAGTAGACTGAATATTTAAAGCATCATGGGACGGTCCGCCGGTGCAGAAATCGATCATCCTTTGGGATTGTTCGGAAGTCAATTTAGTCCTTGCCACCCGACCAGGAAGTACACTGCAGATATCAGAGGGGAGATATGCTGGCTTCTCTGATGTCCCGACATTGATGACCGGAAATTGCAAGTCAACTGATATATTGTATTCTAACGGTGTTAGTGAGCTCACATAAAACTACGATAATGTCGGGGTTCTTACTTTCTTTGAAGTAGTCGTAAACACTAATGTAATCCTCTTTTGTGTCCATCCAGAATTTGATTTCGTTAGATTTAGCGCCAAAACGACGACCTACGGGGGGATGTGCTAAACTCTTCCCATCATCCTCCGTAACAAGTCCACAAATTGTCCTAATTTTGGAAAGGGCACCATCGTTTTTCGATCTATCAAGGTGATTTACCCGCACTCTAAGCCCCCTTAAGAAGAATGCTAGCTTCACAGCTGTACCCCGTACGTCCTTCCGATATTGGCGCATCAAGTTCTGAAGTACCAAGGGTTTATAGAAGGCTGCGCGGCAGACATTTACGTTGAGAAGGAAACGGGAAGTCATCCATTTAACACTTGTGACGTGGCCCCTTATCGCTTCTAGACCACCCCCGAGGTCACAGTTATTCTGAGAAGTGTTGACCGGGAAAACTCTTCCCGACCCAAAGGTGACGACATTATCGGTAGTCTCCGCATAGTGATTGAATATAATATTCAATGCTTGTACTATATCTTTCTTAATACTATCGATTGTCGAAATATCTGTGGAATCAGAATAACCCTGGAGATTAGAAATGGACAGAGTGTCGGTGTAATTAAGTGTGACCTTGTACTCCTTCGCGCCCTTGCGTGGCTGAACTTCATCCTCGGCACGGTATTCAATATTTTGGACAAGTTCGGCGTTCTCAAGCTTCTTTAGTGATAGAAGAGTTGACCTGAAGTCAGTGACGATGTTTTGTCTATGGTTATTCATACAAGGAAGTTGAAGAAGTAGTTTGACAATCTGGATATGCCTCCTCATACTGGGATCTTGGTCAACTGAGATATGGTATCGATGAAGTACTAGGTTTCCTATGTCCATTTTTATGTAGTTAGCCAAGAGAGAATTTTCCTTGCCCTCGGTCCCATAATTTGGACGTGGTGGGAATTTGTAGGCCTGTTTGCCCTTGCCCTCCTTAACCTTTTGAACGACTAAGTCCTCGCTATCGCCAATGGTTTTGTCGTAGTCCGCGATAGACAATTTCGAAAACCTGTTAACATTTATATTAGCTAAACCTTGCATAAATACATGCTCAATACTTTAATATCCTACTGTTTAGTTGCGGGATGTTGGCTAGACCGAGACATATTGAGCTGAGGAAGTATCCAGAGAGTAGGTCGCACAATGTGATAGTACACCTAATTGAGGTGCCTTGGAATGGCAATAATCCTTAGGGTAGCAAATTCGGGTTATGTATCAGGGATAACTGCTTGACACAAAGTATTAAAATGGACGAATCCAGCGAACGGTGATGAGGCCGCTTAATAATAACTACGATGGTGGGATTAGGGTTTCTTTTACGCAGGAGGGAAGAATAGAAGGTGACGGGAAAATCTAGGATTTATAAATTGAATGAATACTCTATGTTGGCAAGCTTATGACTACCTTCTACCTAATGGAAACCACTATGATTCCTGTCATGCATATGAGTTTGGTCTTAGGAACGGGATAAGTAATACGGAATATCACAAATAGCAAAAAACAGCAGCGCTTGTATAGAATCTAAGTTATAAAAGGTGGCAAATATGATATGAATTGTAAGTTTTCACGTATCTCCTTATACTAATTACAAGTCCTCATTATCAGATTGCTGGCATCCTGACTAATTTACAGGTAGGTATCTGAACTATCTTTTAGGAAACTGTTTATGACAAAGAGGGTGATTGTAATGTTAGTTTGGCGACAGCTAGAAAGAGATAGCGTATAGTTCATGTCTCATGTAAGTTTACGGGATGAGTTTGATATCATATCTGGGTAAACTAATGGTCCTGTTTTATGAATCATGACCAGAGTCTTGATATCTAGATAGGTACCTGATATTGGAAAATTTGATTGTAAATTGTATATCTTTTAGTGAAACAGCACTCCCATTCACCTCCGGGAACGATGAGTTCAGCTGTAGACACGCATCATAAGATTATAGAGTATGTACGAGCCCCAGACCGAGATGCATTTATGTTCAAGCCGTAAAGAAGACGGCGAGGAGCAAGATGCCCCTTAGTATGTATGTACCTAATGATGACCATGCTCCAGTAGAATGAGACAGAAAACAAATGCAAGATGAGATAACGCCACCCAGAATACTCCGTTCAGATAAGTAGTTTGTCGAAAGACCATGTCCGCCGTCCCCGGGATAACCAAGTTGACCAAGAATCCCCATCCATCCAAGCCCTCATCCAGAGCAAACGCCACGTCATCAAAAACACAGGTGAATACCTAGCCAGCTACCGTTACGCTGTCCATCGAACCGTTTTAGGAGTTACTAAGTTTCGGATCGCACCAAAGAGGTGCGAAGGTAGATAGGTAGTCTAGAAGATATTGGAGGTTGACCGGGCCCAGATAGCCCAGCCATCTATCCGACGTCCTGATAATTTGTCGCACTCATTTCGTACGAATTCCGTCCTCATTTCCCGAAAGCGCCGCCCACAACCACCGCTTGCCGCCGCCGCCGCCGCCACCATCAACAATGACACCATGGTATAATTTCGCGATTTATTCTTTGCAACATGAACCAGACCTATGACTTGGGTATATATGTAAAATAATAGTGATGACCAAATGAGCGATAAAACCCAGTTATATGAAATAAGAGAATCTTGAAAGTAAATTGTTAGCCGGGTAGGCTTTGTATCCAACAGGAGCGGCGTTTATAACCGTTTTTGGACTCCTATGTTGAGTTATTGTTATTGTTGTTATTGTTTGAGACCGAGTCAGAGACGGGTACGGCTTAAGCGCACGAGAAGTCAAGACCCATACTTCTCGCTACACCTTGCCAATCCCATACGCGTGCCCAATCGCCGCATTCCATTAATCGCCAGACTTCTTCGAGTACTTCGCTAACGCGGTCGCCATTGCGGAGTCCAGTGTAGCCGCGAACTGTCCGGATTGCGTTCCGGACTCTCTCCCGTTGTGCAGGAGCGAAGCATGCGCAACCGATCACGAGACAAGGTACTAGAAGTAGGGTTTGCACGGGATCGCTCGGTTTAAATGAGTCGAGAATTGCTAATGATTCATCGACGGCAATGGTTATGCGGTTGTCATGGTGAGGCGGGTATCTGATCGGTGCCGGAGATTCGGCACGAGGCGGTGTCGTATGACTACTTGTTGGTCGTTCCGATGAAGGTGGGGTATGGGTAGAGTGAGACTGAGAAGTCGGAGATAGAGGAATGACACTAGCTGACGGGTGGGTGAATAATGTAGACGGCGATGTTGTCGATGAGGGCGGGTAGATAGTCCTGAACAGATATACCCACATCATCTGTTTGTATAGGAGCCCAACACGATCACGACTGTCTCCCGGAGGCCAATGAGGAGTCCACTCTCGGATAGCAGAATCAATTTCGGCGGCTCGATATAGTGAGGTGTAGTCAACGACGGGATCCGCTTCGGCAGCTATGTTCGCTCTGATGGTGTTGCGAATACTCGTTATCTGCGCAAGATAGTGGAATAAACCATCGGCAATGCCGATCAGACGTGCGGGCTGGATTTCAAGCCAAGGTGTCCAATCCTCAGTCGCTAATCGGGGTGTGTGAATATCAGGATAACGTATGAGCTCGTCTGCAAAAACGCGATACTGGAAGAATTCGGTGATAAATATCAAAAAGGCGTCGTCCGGGGGTGGCGACTGTTGGATTAGGTTCTTATACGCCTGAAGATGAACCCGGTGTTCTCCATTAGGATTACCTTCTGCGAGAGTTTGTAAGAGTAGACAGAGCATCTGTCCATAGCGAGGAGACAAATTGGTCTTATTTTTCGGGTCACTCTCATTATCCATCGGTTCGCAAAGTTTCTTCATCGCCTCCTGGTGGTGAAACTGTGACCTATTCAGCAGCGAAGCCAGGCTAATCTTTGGGTTAGATGCAAGGATTTTGGTGCCGTATGGAGTATCGTAGTCGATATGTCTGCTAGCTACGGAAAGAATAGAATGCATCAAGCCTTGATGCTCTACTGCCATCTGAAGTAGCATATCCTTGAATGCATTCTTATACTGTCCTTCAACCGTAAGTACACCACTTAGGTGACTGATATAGTGATTCAAGAAGACCATATCTTCGGGCGTTTCTACTCCCTCGAATATAGGTTGGAGAGTAATTTGTGGCAAGCTGAGCCGCTTCTGTAGGTCTGCGCCGAATGTTAGAGGATGGACGTACATCCAAGTTCTGGTTATCAATACCTTCTTCTGCCTGTTTCTCCTTGCCGCTCTTCCATATGGTCTTCTCATGGTATCCCTCACAAACAACAGCATTTTTCTCACAATTTAAGCCTATACGGATTAGATGCGCAATAAGGGACAGGTAGAATTCTCACTTACAGCGTGGTTTTGCCTCGTCGCATTTCTTTTTTCTTTTCCGGCATGTGATACACCCGGTCTTGGAACGACCCTTGGCAATCTTATTCGTTGCTACTTGGGGTGTGAGGGGGTGTTTA